AATACTTTTAAAATTTAAGTGTGTTCTTAATCCAAACTTTTTTTCGTTACAGGCTAGGCTTCACTTTTCTCTCCATCTCTTTTATGGTGGCACGTTCTTCACTTCCCCGTCTTATTATACCAACTTTTCTTTGGCTTTAACTTATATTGTTATGCGTACACCTTACAGAAAATTCAGCATTTGTGTTTACATTATCTTGGTTAGATTCTGTATGCTGTATTGTCTTACTTTGAAGAGCATAAATTTGTGTCGAACCACGATAAACACTGCGTCTCTTTTTCCTTTTGTATTTGCTGATGCCACCAGTCATTGTCCAAGCAAAATTGAATTGATTTTGTTTGTACGACATACTTCACCAATCTTGAAACTACTAACCATTGGTCAACTTCATATCTTCAGGGACTCACTGAAGGAGTCTTTGCTGACGAGTTTGGGTCAACTAAGGTAGGTTGTTCAAACCAGTTAATAGGTTGAAATAAAATCAGGAGAACAGGAATGTATACTACAACAGTAAGTGGAAGTGGCGCTAACAGCAACCCCTTTCACAACGCTGCCATCTTTCCTTCTGACCACCGATGCCAACTCCGTCGATCGATTTTTGAGATTGTTTGTGGAGTTGGTTTGCCAATCAAATTGACTTTGGAATTTGGAACCATTATCGGTCATTTGGTCTTTTGCAAGGGTGTTAGTAGATTTTGATCTTGTGATTCTTTCGCCATCTCAAATACGGATTGAGTGGGACAATGATGGTCTCACCACTGTCCCGATCAATCCACATCTGGGATGGCAGAGAAACCACAAGATCAATTTTCTACCAACACCCTTACAAAAAGGCCAAATGACCATTTTTTTTTTTTTTCAAAATGAAAAGTTCTTTGTGGTAAAAGAAAAATTAACAAAAAAAATTTTGAAAATGGGGGATTGGTATGATACTAGCGACCGGTACGAGGTTCCGTTGCTACATCTATACCAACTATTAACCAGTGTCATTGCTACTTTAGTAGCGACTAATTTTGAAAATAGTCACTACCTATCTACCGACAGTTCTTGTGGACAATTGGTAGGAAAGTACCAATCGTATTCTTTTCTATTTTATTTTATTTTTTTCCCTTTTTCCATTGAATTTTTTTTCTTCCTACATTATTTTATCTAGATTCAAATACCTTTATATTTATATCCTTGTTTTCAAGTGTTTTGACATGAATTTATAAGAAAATTCACCGAAATAGAATTAAACATAAAATTTCTTTATTATAATGAAAGATGATGATAACTTCAAGCAATCAATAGTATATCAGAGCATATTTAAAGACAACAATTAAAATATGAAATGATCGTCGTCTCCATAAAATTAGTTAGTTTATGACAATTGATGAAATGAAATCAACTGCTTGAAATGCTCCCAATCCTTCTCTTGCCCTCATAATCATCAGCGGTCGTGGCAGCAACGGGATCAACCACTGACTCGTTCTTGACGGAAATGACAAGCCGATAGTTGATGTCTGCCACCACCTGAGTGTCGCCCCAGATGAATGGGCGATGATCGATAGCGTAGTACCGATCTTTCCCTATTCCAACTTATTTATTTATCTTCTGCTTTTTATTTTTTTCATTTCAATTTTTTTTCATATGTTATTTTATTAGGAAAACTAATAAAAAGTCCTAAAAAACTTTAGTTTTTAATAAAAATGACAAAATAAAAGTATAAGTGAATAGTACCAAGAATGACTTTTCAAGGTAAAAATATCATTAACATTAAAAGTGAACAGTATGAGGAATGTTTCATTAAGATTCCCTATTTTATTTGGATAACCACTATTAGACTCAAATATTTTTAAATTTAGGTTTTAAATCATTGATTTCAAGTGTTTAAATATGAATTATAATAGATTTTTCACAAAAAAAATATATTTTGAAGAACATAAATATTATAATTTGTTGTTATGGTAGAGAAATAAAAAAAAAATTAAAAAAGTTAAAAAGGTGATCGGTATGATGATAGCGATTGGTATCGGTTTGCTTCACTATTTTGCTAGCGACAGTTGTGAGTAATAGTTGTTACTTAAATAGCGATAGTTCTGAATAGATATCGGTATCAAAGTACCGATCGTATCTTTTTTATTTTATTTATTTATTTTCTGTTTTTTTCTTTTTCCATTAAATTTTATTTTCTTCCGACTTTACTTTATTTAGATTCAAATACCTTAGATTTGGATTTATATTCTTGTTTTTGAGTGTTTTGACATGGATAATAGTAAAGTCTTCACCGAAAATACATTTTGTAGAAAATGAAGATAATAGTTTGGCATCAATGTGGTTGGAGGATGTCAGGTTTTTACCACTGGTTTCAGAAGCTTGGATTCAGTTTCATTTAATTGGTTGTCCTCTATTTATTCTTTCAGCTAAGCTACAGCTCTTAAGGGTAAGTTAAAAAGTTAGAATTGAGACTCGTTTGGGAAATTTAACTCAAGTATTGATAATTCCTTGCAGAACTTGGATCAAATTCAAAATGAGATTGCTAGACTTGGTCCAAATGAGGACCGATTATGTCATGAGTCTTTGGCTCAAGGTCAGGCTTATGAGACACTTCGTATTCAAGAAATTATGTTGAAAGACAAGTCTAGAGTTTGTTGGTTATCTATAAGGATCAAAATACGAAGTTCTTTCATTATATGGTCGACTAGTGAGTGCTTGGTGGTCGGCCAAAATGAGCGTGGTGTGGCCTGAAGATAATAGTTTGGCATCAATGTGGTTGGAGGATGTCAGGTTTTTACTGCTGGTTTCAGAAGCTTGGATTCAGTTTCATTTAATTGGTTGTCCTCTATTTATTCTTTCAGCTAAGCTAAAGCTCTTAAGGGTAAGTTAAAAAGTTAGAATTAAGACTCATTTGGGAAATTTAACTCAAGTATTGATAATTCCTTGCAGAACTTGGATCAAATTCAAAATGAGATTGCTAGACTTGGTCCAAATGAGGACCGATTATGTCATGAGTCTTTGGCTCAAGGTCAGGCTTATGAGACACTTCGTATTCAAGAAATTATGTTGAAAGACAAGTCTAGAGTTTGTTGGTTATCTATAAGGATCAAAATACGAAGTTCTTTCATTATATGGTCGACTAGTGAGTGCTTGGTGGTCGGCCAAAATGAGCGTGGTGTGGCCTGAAGATAATAGTTTGGCATCAATGTGGTTGGAGGATGTCAGGTTTTTACTGCTAGTTTCAGAAGCTTGGATTCAGTTTCATTTAATTGGTTGTCCTCTATTTATTCTTTCAGCTAAGCTACAGCTCTTAAGGGTAAGTTAAAAAGTTAGAATTAAGACTCGTTTGGGAAATTTAACTTAAGTATTGATAATTCCTTGCAGAACTTGGATCAAATTCAAAATGAGATTGCTAGACTTGGTCCAAATGAGGACCGATTATGTCATGAGTCTTTGGCTCAAGGTCAGGCTTATGAGACACTTCGTATTCAAGAAATTATGTTGAAAGACAAGTCTAGAGTTTGTTGGTTATCTATAAGGATCAAAATACGAAGTTCTTTCATTATATGGTCCACTAGTGAGTGCTTGGTGGTCGGCCAAAATGAGCGTGGTGTGGCCTGTTTTAGCTAGGGTTCCCTCGTGGACTGAGCCTTGAACTTGTCGAAGAGAAAGCCTTAGGGTTTCGCACATTAGGGCTTACGAAACCCTAGCCCCATTTGAAGTGAGGTGTAGTGCCACACTTGGGAGAACATGAGATGTCGTGGTGGCATCGGTGCTAGGCACCGCAAGTCTTATAGTGGCGCCGGATGCTTGGATTGCCCTTTCTTTTGCGGTGGTGACAGTTTGGGAGCCACCGCTCTTTGCAGTGTGGCGTGAGGCAATGGTGGTGGCACGACAGGACCTGAAGGTTGGGTCATGGGATCGGTTCCAACCAAGAGACATATGGCGCCAAATTTTGCGATGGTGATGTTGCTGCTTCGGTGTTCCTACTTGATGATCTTTGTGTTTCCACCATTCTTGAATGGAAGAAGAAATTGGAGACAAAAGTTCCGTGTTTGGAGTTTTGCTTTCGCTCAATTGGATGAAAAGTCGTGAGTGTTTTTCAAGGGCTCTTAATGAAACCACCAATTTGTGTAAGCAAATTTCCGCCTCAGATTGAATTGACGAAAACCTACACACACAAAGAAAAGAGAGAAACGGAGTTAGACTAACACCGGTGTGGTGTTAGCCAAATGGCCTCTGATGCGTAAGTTAGAAAAAGTGTAGGAAGTTATAAGAGTATGGTGAGAGTTCTTAATTACTAGAATAAAGTGGTTGACCTTGGCTGTTTATAGAAAACTGAAGAGTTAACCCCCAACGTCCAGGTTTGTTGAACCTATTAGTGGAGTGTTACTTAGTCTGCACACTGATGTAGCAGTATTCCTCTTATATTTTAGGAATATGCCTAAGAGAATCTTATCATGCTAAAAGAATGACAGGTAAGCCCATTACATGTAAGGGTAATCTGCACATGTCGCATAGGGATCAACTTGGACCATTAAGTAGAAAGTTGAGAAGGAAATGGGCAAATACTTATTTTAGCTTTAACTCTTGTACTCTACACAAAATCTCACTTTACCTCTACAGTCCATTTAGTCTCACTTTACCCAATGTGCTTTTCTTTTGTGCTCCACTTTAATTCATTTCGTCAATTGAATTTAACAAAATTGAAGAAAAATGTTAGTTTTACTTATGCTTTTTGGTCTTTAGCATTGTCGAAGAAGAAATTTGGGGTAACTTTGCCCCTAATATGAAAAATGAATCAAATAATTCAAAGAGCTCATGCATTGTCAACAAAACTAACGCCTCCAATCTAATTGCTGAAACGAGATAAAGTGAGACACAAAAAAAGAGTACAAACTAAACGACATACTAAATTGAGATTTTATGTAATAATTACGTGGCATAACAAAAAAAAAACAAAAAAACAAAAAAAAAGGCAGCAAACTATGAACAACCTAAACGGGCCCTTAGTATTTTTTTTGGTCAACAACCATGAACAACTTAGGAAAGTCCGCCGTTCTCATAAACAACCTCGTTACTGTCGTCCTTCGTCGTAAATGCCTCCCCCTCCATTCACTTTCTTAACACGGAGACAGAGATCACCCCTCCTAAGCAATGTCGACCGCAGCTTCCTCCACCTCCTTCACTTGCCACTCCCCGCTCCTTCCCCGCCCAAATGCTCCATCCCGAATCTCTGTCGCCGTCGCGATTCCCAGGTGTCTGCCGCCGTTGCCGCATTTGAAAACTAAGAGGAGGAGTTCAACCACCACCTATTGCTCCGCCGACGCTGCGAAAGATAAAGATTCCACCCCCATTGAGCTCAGTAAGAACTGAACTGATTTTCTCTTTTCTGTTCTTTGATTTCTTTGATGATACCCCACTACAACTTCCATCTGTGCAGGATATGAGGCTTTTCCTACCGTCATGGACATCAATCAAATTCGTGATATTTTGCCTCACCGGTCAGTGCCTTTTTCTGCACCATTTCCTGCGAAATTTTGTTTCTTTTTCAAATAAAAAAGGGCGACCCTTGCGAGGGTCGGGAAACGTCTCTCGGATGCAGTCTTACCCTTGCAAAGAGGCTGTTTCCACGATTCGAATTTGTGACCTTTCGGTCACAAAGTAGCAACCTTTCCGTTGCGCCAAAGTTCGCCCTCGGTTTCTTCTCCAAATCATTTGAATTAGTTTGAGTCTACATTTTGTTTGATCGGGTTTTGGTGGTGGTTTAGGTTTCCGTTTCTGTTAGTGGATAGAGTGATTGAATACAATGCTGGAGTTTCAGCTGTTGCAATCAAGAATGTCACCATCAATGATAATTTCTTTCCTGGGCATTTCCCCGAGAGGCCGATTATGCCTGGTGTTCTCATGGTTGAGGTAATCCTTTTTTTCGTTATCAAACTAAGCGATAGGCCGCTCTTTACATGCATTATCCTCAAACACTTCAAATAATAAGGTACATTTGTGTGTGTGTGTTTTGTATAAGTATATATTAGCAGAAACATGCTTGCATTAATAGAAGCAGGTTATGAAACTTGCAACATAGGGACATGATTTCCGCTAATCTATCTAGGGTACTGATCTACAGCTAACGAAAAAAATAGCAAGATTAGTGATATGTTAAAAGTGTAAAATTAATAGTGAATGTTAGAGAACTCCCGTGCAAAAACACTCATGTCAAGTTGTTGTACATGGTCCACTCTGCACAATTTTAAGCCTTTTCTTTTTCCTAAATCAAGGACATGTCAATGCTACTGAGATGGTGTCGCTGAGTGGCAGTAAGATGAAAACATGGGAGTAGATTTCACTTTGTATGTGTTTTAACATGTAGTTATTGTAAAAGATAGAGGACATTTGTGTAAATACCATATTTACACGACTTGTTGGATACAACTGAGCGGCTAACTTGTATTGGCATTCTGTATAATGTTTAGGGATTGCCTGGTGGCTATGCCAGTTGATCATCAACTGAAAAGTTGACCAAGTTATCTTAATCCCATCTAGTTCGTATAGGATTCCAGGATAGTTGCAGATTTTCTTAATCCGAACTAGTCAAGAACTCAAGATGGTTCTGAATGGCTCAAATTGTAGTCCTCGGAAAGATATTTCCCAGGGTTATATTCTTATTCGGGGTGTTGTCATTTTGTCCTTGGACGGGAAGATGACATTGAATTTAGGGTGGCTGGGTGAAAACTCTTTACAGAATCTATTTCCCAGGCTTTCTGATATATCTAAGGTTTCATTATAAGACTATTTCTAGTCTTGTGAACTCTGTTGAAATATCCTTGAGTTGGGATTTTGGCTTTTGAAAGATTTTGGAGCGGGTTTCGAAACTAGAGCATGTAGATTGGAGTCCTATAAATGAAAAGGAAGCTTGGTCAGAACGATCGTTTGAAGGAAGAGTTTGCTGGTTTCAATAATTGAGTGTGGCAGTAAGAGATCATCTGGACTGGACAGCATTTATTTGGCAGTTTTTAAGGATTGAAGGGAAGTGGTTATGGAGGATTTCAACGTTTCCACGAGTCCTTGCAATAGAGTTGTGAATTATTATACTACTTTGACCTATATAATTCGATCCCTAAGAAACCTTGTTGTGAACGACTTCTGTCCTATCAACTGGTCTGGTTTATGATGCGTTATTAATGTTGTCTTGCATCCTCTCTTCTTGATAGAAGCGTCTGTGCTATCCAAGATTCTGGGGTTTTTCTTGCAAGTTTTTCTGTCTTTCTATACTCTCTATAACCCAAGTTATCCCAGCTTTGGTCCTTGCAAGTTTATAGTTGTTTTTCTTTGGCTGATAGCTGATTGCAATATGGATTCATGTGATGTGCTTCAGAATACAATGCCGTGCGCTAAATTATAGCACATTGCAATATCAATTCATGTGATAACATCCTGTAATCTTAACAAAAAGATAATGCATATTGCTGCAGTTGACCAAGTTTCCCGTTAACACTTGGCTGTTGTGTTTAGATTAGTAATGATACATGTCAATGCTTGTTGTATCTAGGCAATGGCACAAGTTGGTGGCTTGGTTATGCTACAACCGGAAGTGGGAGGTTCTCGTGACACTTTCTTTTTTGCTGGAATTGACAAAGTTAGATTCAGGAAACCAGTGATTGCCGGTGACACATTAGTGATGAGAATGACGCTTATTAAGTTGCAGAAACGCTTTGGAATCGCAAAGATGGAAGGCAAGGCCTACGTTGGAGGTGAAGTCGTATGTGAGGGAGAGTTTCTGATGGCTACTGGTACCGGTGGTGACTGATCTCAAATTTTTCGATAATTTCCTTGCTAAAATTGGTTTCATGTATTCTTCACTTGACTCGTACTATTTTTTCTTCTCGCTTTATTTTCTAGAATAATACTTGGCTACTCAAAGATGAGTAGGAACTCCTACTCAAAATTCTTAGTATTTTAATCACAGAGCTTTGTGTTTATAATCAGAACCATTCATACAATCAATCACACTGTAAAGATCATCTCTGCAAACAATAAATTAAAACTAAGGTCGTTTAGTCAATCTATTGTAGCAAATACATAAACGGTTTGTAATACTTTTACTAATACCGTTAATTTGTTTTTAAACACTTTGATAACTAAACAATCTTAGTTTTAATTGATTTTTTTGGGCAATCTTTATAGGGTGATTTATAATATGAACAGTTCTGATTATAAATATGAACTTCTACAAATTGACAACGGACAATTTTGAGAAGTTTTGAGTAGGAGTTCTTACTTATTTTTGTGAGTAGCCAAGTATTGTTTTATTTTTTATCCGCTCTTGCGTGTAAACGTTTTGGCAGTTTAAATTGTGTTTAAGATATTTTTATGGTTAATTCTTGCCATGATTACGAAGACAAGATGTCGTTAACGACACTCAAGTAGCAATTAAATTGAAAAGGATAAAAAAAATTGGGTAATTAGTTATATCTACATATTGAAAAGTAAATGCCAAATGGTTTACAAGCCAAGAGCACCAAGGGGCGTCTTTCCTTGCCCAGCTTCGAAGTAGAAAATGAGCATAGCCACCATAGCAAGCCTTGCATGCTTAATCTCAGCCAGTTTCAGTCTCTCCAACTTTTCGCTGTCTGGAACGTAAACCCCGTCCTGGATGGAGCCGGCGAAGCCCAAGGGGTCGAAGAACTTGCCACCCGGGTAGCCTTGCTCTCCGGTGGCGTTGGCGAAGTTCTCCGAGGTCTTGGACCAAGGTGTGGCCCACTCGACGGACTGGGACTCAGGGTTGTAGAAGTCCACCCATCTCTTGCTTTCCACCCATCCCATGAGCAAGAGCTGAGTGCCGAGCAGTGAGCCGAAGGAGAAGGGTGAGATGGCACTGGGGTCAGCTCCGGCTTCGAACCATGGGATACCACTCCAGGCCTGGCCAACAAAGATGCCAACGACTGCCGCCATTGCCCACCGGCCGTGGATGAGCTCCGCCTCTCTGTACCACTTGAGGAACGCCGGGTCCTTGCCTAGTCCTAGTGGGTCAAAACCGTAGTCACCTGGAAGCCTGCACGCGTATATCAGATCAGATTCATACATATATCTGTGACAAACTTAGAATTATAATGTGGATGATAATATATGAAACTTACGAGCCATCGAGCCACTCGGGGTCGATGAAGTTGCCGCCGCCTTTAACCGCCGGGATCCAAGACTTCTTTGCCGCAGCAGCAACCACAATGAACCTCTTAGGAGTAGGAGAAGCACCGCCAACCCTGCTTCCAACGGTGGCAGCAGAGAGCAAGGCCTGACTTCTCTTGCCTCCACATAAGAAGGCTGCCGAGTTCAACCCGTTGAGGACTGCACCAGTGGTTGCCGCCATCTCTCTCTCTCTCTCTCTCTCACTAAGCAAAAACAGAGACTCAGAGAGTTTTTCTGGTGGCAATGAATGTTTGAGAGTTATTTGGGTGGTGGTGTTTTATCACCGTGAGCTTTAGAGAGAGAGGGAGAGAGAGAGAGTGGAGAGGAGAGAGAATCTAGAGGGTGGCGTTGGGAGGAGCCAGCTAGGATAAAGAAATCTGACTAGGTTGTGTTAGATAGATTTCGGACCAATGAGAACTAGTCCTCCATCCGCATGCATGCATTGCCGCCAACCACGTGGACTATCACTTTGTCTTCGTGCCACTGCCTCCACAGGCTAAGGTTACAAAATATCATTAAGGTCCTTCCAAAATGATGGAATTATGTCATCCACGATAATGTGCTGAAGTATAACCAAATGGTCCAAAATGACAGCTACGTCTGATTTTTTATTATTTTTCTTTCTCGTTTTCTACCCCGCATTTTGTTATTCTTTTAGATTAAGCCCACATTTAAACTTTGTAGCGTGTGCTTGTGACCAAATAAGACCAGAGACACCGCATGATGTCTCTATGTGCATCTATAGCTTATCTCGATACCAATCGACAAACCACTAGTATTAGGAATAAGCATTTCTGATGTGTTATTGTTTTGTGTACAATGTCATATGACGTTCTATGCCAATATAATAAGAACATATGAACAAAAACTTACATGTAATTTATTCTATCAACACAAAACGTCGTCGAACAGACATATCCAAGTTTTTCTCCTTTAAACATCCATGCAACGTGAGAACATGTGACTTGGCGGGCGAGAGTCACTCTCACCCATTAATTGCTACCCAAGCAATATCCACAACAGATAATGTCTCTCACTCACTACCCCTCTCTCGAGGTATTGTATCACACGGTTCACCGTTGCGTGATATTTTGTGTTAATTATGCAATGATTTGTATTATTGGCATAAAATACTATTATGATAGTAAACTCGTATCATATAAGCTGTTCTCTTCTGTCTCAATGTCATGAAAAAACCAATATTAAAAAAAAAAAAAAACTAAAAAAGACTATGAATTGTGCAACATGCATTTGGGACCTTGGCACTATAAATAAACAAATGTATGTGTGATCGACATAATAATAATAACATAAGTAAAATGGGTAATCCTTTCGTGAGAAGCGGGTTGAGCTTCTCCCCCATGTTTCCAACCCACATTCTCCCGCCGCTTAAACCCTTGCACGAAACAGTCCTCACTAGAATTCCGATTGGATTTCCGAAGCCCCGGCCGACGCTTCCGCCGCACTCCTCCTCGTCCTCCTCAAACTTTGATATCATTTCCACAAGCGGTACGTGGCTTGCCAATTTTCTCAGGAAACAAACAGAGTATTAATTAATAGTGTTATTTATATAATTCCTTTATGAATTGTGTGTGACAGAGTCGGGAGATGGTAGCTTTCTCTTCCGCTTTGGGGACAAGAGCGAGAAATCTGTTGCCACTGAAACAGAGATTGATGCTGGTAGTCATCTGGAGGATCCTGTGCAAGATTCAGAATTGAGCCAAACATTGTTGGGAAGCACAGGAAGTGGAGCTGGTGGCGGTGGTGGCGGTGCAGGTGCCGAGGAGAATGTTATTGATGCCGTTTCAGTGACGAGCACCGACAATTCGACTCACGGTGGTGTAGGTGAAGAAGCCACAACCACAGCAGATGAAAATCAGGTCAGCAATGAAACTCATGCTTATCCAGCAATTGGCGACGCCACGGAGGCCGAGAATGCTGTTAATGTGGTTGCAGTGACGAGCACTGGCAATGCGACTGCTGGTGGTGGTGGTGAAGAAACCACAATTAGAACTACAACCGCAACCACAGCAGATCAAACTCAAGTCAGCAATGAAATCCATTCTTTTGAAGCAAGTGGCTGTGACGGAGCCGCAAAGGCCGAGGAGAATGCTGTTGATGCGGTTTCAGTGACGAGCACGGAAGATGCAACTGGCGGCAGTGGTGGTGAACAAACCACAACCGCAAGCACAACCACAGCAGATGAGACTCAAGTCTCCTTCGTGGTTAGTAAAACTAATTAACTCTTGATTCTTGCATTGCCTCACTTGTTTAAGAACTTCTGAATTGGTCAGCTATTTCGCAATCCTAGTCGAAATATAGACTACCACACCCACACCACATATATATTTGTAGATAAATAGATACATGGATAGATAGATATGGAACACAATCATGATATTGATAAATGTCCAGCAGGGATGCTTGACTAGGTTTTAAATGCTGTATGTGAATATTTTTGAAAACCGAGAATCTTTCCAAGAAATGGATTAGCTTTAAGTTTTCTGTTTCTAAAGGGACTTGAAGAATCTAGTGCAAGGACTGTCTACGGTGTTCTTTCCTTCGTCTGTTGCACGCCGTTAAGGACGATTGATATGGGCTTCTTGTCAAGATATATACTAGTTAGTAGTAAGGTTTTGCAAGGTGACTCCCGTATCCCTTTTTTGGTTTTTATGGCTCGAGAGGAATATTACTGCATTTTAACGAGTGCAGCATTGTTTTGCCCAGAGCTGAGATCAATGTTAAAGTTTTCAGATGGTTTTTGAGGGGATCTTCTATGCTGTTTTTAAACCAACTGGGTATCTCAAGTGATTAAGGTCATGGAGCTAATTTCGAATTTGAATTTTGGATTCAGAAAGCTTTCAAAGTCCTACAATCTTTCATTTCATCTTTGTTACATAAATGAAACTTAGTGAAATTTATTTTCCAAATTTTGTCTGCGTTGTTCTCTCTTTTATACTTCCAGTTCTTTTGGATGGCACCTGGTTTGTGCCTTTTTGCGAATTAGTCATTACCGTAAATGTGTACATTACACTAGTAGATATATGAAAACTCAGCTGTGGGGGGAGCTGTATTTTGTTTTATAAGACCTCAAGACAAGAGATGTCTGGATTAAATCTAAGCCTTCAATTTGCACGTACATGCACGCCTGCACAAATGTTATACATGTTTTCTTAATTTATAGCCCAACCCAACTCAAGTTGGCAGTTGGATCATTTGGCACATATTTGTTTTTTTTTTTTCTTTTTTTTAGTCTGGCACATCACACAGTTCTTTCATGTTAAGGACCTCACGTGCTTTTGTTTTATCTTGTACATAGTTAGCCGAGAATGCCCCTTCCACAAATTCAGAAGATGAATTCACAGAGGGCGAAGCACATAGAAGTGACGTTTCAGAAGTATCAACTTCTAAGATAGTGGAATTCCATGCAGTTGAAGGCGCTTCTGATGGGTATGCTAGTTTTTCTCTTGATATACCTCTAATAAATAATCTCCATCTATTATTTCTGCTTTTGAAGTTCATCTGCTTCTAAAATTTAATTCTGTATGAAAAATGCAAGGACAATAGAAATCACCAGAGGAGTTAAAAAGTGGTGCAGCTGTCTGTGTACAATAGGTGCACGGACAAGGATAGCATGAGTTTATTTGTTGTACCAAATCGGTTCTTGGTAATGTTGGTGAAGGGATTAGATTTTGGGAAAAGCCTGGCTTGATGTTTTTGTTCATGCTTTGTTTTCCCCGAGGATTTTCATCAATAAAGCGTGCTAGGACAGCTGACCGTTTCTTTCTTTCACAGGGAGGACGTTTCTGCAGCTGTTCTTCAACTATCTTCTGGTGCTGCTTTATTACCCCATCCCTCAAAGGTATCTTCTCAAGTTTTAAATGTAGTCGTAGTACACATACTTTATATAACTTTTGGATAATTCAGAGTGGTACCTAATATTGACACTTTTATTTTCTTTTTTGATAAGAAACTCAAAACTTTTATTTTCGTTTATGGATACCACCAACTTGATGTGCATATGCATACGCATGTCTTATGTGACATATGAAGTGGACATAATAACTCATGTTGGCTAATAGCAGTATGGTGTCTATCAATGCATTGAATTGTTTGTAGGTAGACACTAGACAAGCACACATATCTAACCCACAGGTGCACATTGGATAAATGAGCTTTATGTTCGGTTTGTCTTGAATTCACTCGTCTATTTATACGCTGCTAGACACACACACATATATACATGCAAATCTGTGTGCACACACACAATACTTACTTGACCTTTGGCATGCATTTACTATAACTGTAAATAATTCAAGAATTAATAAATTCCAGGCATTGACAGGTGGGGAGGATGCTTACTTTGTTGCTGCCCAAAACTGGTTAGGTGTGGCTGATGGAGTGGGTCAGTGGTCACTAGAAGGTATCACCACCTTGAAGTTTAATTTTGCACGATAAATAGTGTTAGGAATATTGGATGGCCATACCTATATCTCAGTGTATTAGACTAACAGATTCTTTTCCAAACACTACCACTAGTTAGCCCACTTATTTTATTGCTGAAGCCAAATGTTTTTACTTATTTATCAAATACAGCTGTTAAATTATTCACTTCTGATTACACAATATGACGTTAAACCTGTTTGCATGTGGGTGCATCCTTGTGTCTTTTTGTGTGCATGTTTTTGGTTCAGTGTTCCCATAATTGTTGAATAATTGATAGGCTGATAGCCATACTTATATCTCAATCTCAATAGTCTTTTTTTTCCCGTGGTTTGACTAGCAGATTTTTTTTTTTCTAAAATCTACTGCTAGTTGAGCCACTTATTTCATCATGGAAGGCAAGGGAAAAAGTCAGATGTTTCTTCTTATTTATGCAATATGCCTGTTAATTATCCACCTCTGTATACACAAAATATAGGCTAAATTTGTTATACTTTGCTCCTTATATATTAGGGGTTAATCCTGGACTATATGCTCGTGAACTCATGGAGAATTGTGAAAGGTTCATATCCGATTGTAAAGGTTTACCATTGACTGAACCAGCAGAAGTCCTTATTAGAGGCTCATCAAATACAAAATCTCCTGGATCATCCACGGTTTTGGTCGCTTATTTTGATGGTCAGGTATGAACTTTTCCTTACCTAAGATTATTATTTCTGGGTCTTTCGTAAAGGAAGTACCCATGAGAGAGGAACTAGAAGGGAGAATTGGACAAATCCAAAATTAACATGCTAATACCTTAAACAAGTGCTTGTTTACTTTTATACGGCCCAAGTGAACAAAGGTCATAGATAGATTTTATTTCGTGTTATATATTAACATTGAGGGCGAGCCTTGGTGCAACAGAAATGTTGCTCCTTTCCTTTGTGACCAAAAGGTCACGGATGGTCGTGGAAACAGCCTCTTTGCAAAGCAAGGGTAAGGCTGTGTACGATAGATGTTCCTCCCCGGACCCTCACAAAGCGGGGAGCCTTATTGGCGTGGGGTCACCCTTTCTATATTAACATTCTTGCAGTTCTCCTTTTTTTATAGATGATTTTTATTTATTCCGTGTTCTCTACCGTTCTCATAGTATTTCCAGATGATTGTGATAAATTTCCATTAGCTGGCATGTCTATACATCCGCCTTGGTACAATATTTTTTTGGGCTATCCATAAGTAAGCCCTTCATGCTTACATAGTCTATAAAAAGACACTCTACAACCCAACCTTTATTAAAAACCCCATTTTGACATTTCAACCAGCTCAAACTAATTTAAGTGCCATGTAAACACTAAAAATTTACAGTTGGGGTTTCTTCTCCCATGAGGGTGGTATTACTAATTATATATAATTTTTTCTTCCTCTTATAGCATTTTAGGGTGTTCTTTCCTAAACCATGGTTTGGTTATTGCATATGACAACCTTAAAATGTAATATGTTAAAATTTTGATTTTCAAGGATAATGAAAATTTGCTTTTGCAGGCTCTCCATGTGGCCAACATTGGAAACTCGGGATTCATCATAATTAGAAATGGTGCTGTCTTTAAAAAATCGTCACCAATGGTTCACGCGTTCAATTTTCCAGTACGGATTGAAAGAGGTGATGATCCCTCAGAACTTATAGAGGTACGTGTTTTAAAAATTTATTGCCATTACGTGCCCAACAAAATTTTCCAAATTGACTCCTGATATGTTATCAATCTTAAGAAGTAGATCTGAACTTCCCCCCCCCCCCCCCTCTTGTCCGTGAAAGGTGATGGCGGTGTATTTTAATTTTCAATTATACCAACTCTTCTTGCAACTTGACTGTCTTACATGATGAAAGAGATTACGCTAACAAGAATAATCTGTTCTCAGAAATACCGAATTGATTTGGATGAGGGCGATGTGGTTGTCACTGCAACAGATGGCCTCTTCAACAACTTATATGAGCAAGAGATCACCTCAATTGTGTTGAAGTCACTGCAAACCGGGTTGGAACTACAGGTGCACGTCTCAATGGTTTTCTTGTCTATATTTCTTTTTCGTAAGCTTCTTTGAAAAGGAAACCGAAAAAAGAAAAGAACTGTCATGCATTCACTTAAAGGTGCCATAGACATTGCAGAAAGGGCATTTGGACAAAAGCATATGTGGCTTGATAATGGCGGTGCCACTTCTTTTGGTTCAATAACTTTTATACTTATGATTACCGAATTTATCAGCAAAACAGAATATTCTTTAGAATACAAACCTATGACTCCATCTTGAGCTAGGAAAACATTATTTCTGGCAAAACAGATAGCTTTATTTGTTGTAACGGTTTCTTATATCCAATTTCTTTTGGTTGTCTCTGTATGTGCATCTATTCAAAGGACATAGCAGAGGTCTTGGCCACTAGTGCACAAGAGTTGGGGCGATCTAAATCTACAAGGAGCCCATTTGCTGATGCAGCCAAGGCATCTGGGTATGCCGGACATAGTGGCGGCAAGCTTGATGATGTGGTCGTTATCCTGTCACGTGTAGAAAAGAAACGCATCGGTACTTTACGGTAAGTACATATGTATATGTATATATGTGTGCACACGAGTACGTGCTTGTGTATTTATTTATCTGTGTTTTGTATCATTTGTTTCAATTGCGAAGTACCGAAAGGAAACTAATATCATGTGTATCTTCTGTATAAAAAAAGTAGTGTGTCTAAAGCAATTGTGGTGTCAAAGTTCCGGTCCTTGATTATGTCAGTGAGTAGCTAATGTGGAAGCTTTGAAGTTCTCTTTTAAATGAAAACTCTTGGCTTGTGCATATATGGATATAGAATAGGAAATTGTTTCATGCATTTAATTTATGAAAGAAAATGATTTCCGCACGTCGTTTTTTTTTACCAGTATTGGAACTGGGGTGAAAAAAATGTTTTATGATGTAGATTTATGAGATTTTAAAATTTAGCTTTATTTTGGAATTATTGTCATTTTTTGGAAACATGAATTGATTTGCCCCCCTTCAGATATCAGGCTCAACAAGGTTGAGTAAATCTTATATGCCGGAATTGTGTAAGCGGGAAAAGGATCCTTGCCGGGTCCTTTTCCTAGAGATCCCGTGATCTCACCCGTTTATTGTATATCGTGTGGTCGGAAATCATTTCAAAATTTAAAATTAAATATGAATAATACCTAACGAAAACTGATCGTACTATATACAATGAACGAGTGAGATCACAGGATCCCGGATCCTTTTTCGTGTAAGCGTGCCACTACGAAAATGAATAGTATTGGACTGTAAAAGTTATTTAGCCGGTCAACTTAACATGTTTGATAACTATTTCGATTTCAGTTCAAATATCAGTTTCCAAATTTTAGTTTAGTTTTTATTATTTTGAAAATTGAAAATTCGCTTGGTGTACTCTCAATTTTGAAAAAAGATGAAAACTAAAAAACTGAAAATTAAACTGAAACGAAATGATTATTCTAACCTTTAGTTTTTGATATTGTTTCTTTGGATTTAGCGTTGGAAGCACAAAACTAGTCCTTTCTTGGCGGTTCAAGCTGTTTGAAAATTTGACTAGTGTGATCATGGAAGTTGTGTAGGATGATTTTACTTGGGAGCTCACAATCAATCACAATTCTGCTGAAGAATGCCGTGCTTGTGAGAAATTTTTAGTGTGCTGGAAACATAATTCATACACCAAGTGTTATAATACAATTAATTGAATTTTTCTTAAAGTTTTCAACCAATACTAGCATTACACTTGGTCTGCGGGGTCATATATCTAGCCAAAGGCGGATCAACCTTGGGACAACGTGGGTCAGCTGACTCCTACTCATAAATCCTCTATGAAAGAATTGGGTGTTGCCCTTTGAAATTTTGAAATGCCCTTGAAAGCTAACTCTCGACGAGTTGCCTTTATAAACACTGAGCAGGGTAGCTGTTAGTCTCGTGCCTTTGTATGTGTTGCTATGATATGTGTCAATAGGCTTATCTGGAATTGGTCTCTGTCGGCATGCTCGCTCAAAATCGTAGACAAAAAATGTTTAAGTGAACTGGTATCCACACATTTTATTTTTATGCGTATTTATGTTGATTTATCGTTTTCTTTTAATCATTATTCAATCTAACCACAAGGAAATGGAAGGAAATATGTGAATTTCATAAATGTCAAGAATGAATATGGTCAATCATCATTGAATTTCATACTAAAAGTGTGAATTTAATACTAAAAGTGAATAATACTAAATGTGTGAATTTAATACTAAACCAAAAATCATCGTTGAATTTAATACTAAAAGTGAATAATAATTTGATTTAGTATTCTAATCTCAATTTTCAATATCGAATTTAAACTATATACAGATTGCATTTATTGTAGTGGCAAAAAAAAAAAAATCATTTTATATATTATGTAAAAATACAATCTCTACCAATCTCGTTCCTAATAATAATTAACTATTTAACGTACTATTGATATCCTAATATAACAAAAATCTACCCGCAGATGATCAGGGAAAAGGATCTTACTGAATCATTTTTCTGGGAATCCTAAAAATTCCGTGATCATTACCGTTCTGTGTACATCGTACGGTCAATTTTCGTTAATTATTATTTATATTTAATTTTAAATTTTAAATTTTAAAATAATTTTTAACTGCACAATCCTAAGGATCCCCAGAAAAAGGATGCCACGAGGATCCTTTTCCCTATATATCATCGGTGGTACGTGGACAAGAAGAAAATCTTATTTAAGTAAGAGAAAAAAAATGGGGCGTACAAATAATTTCTACATAGAAAAAAGAGGCCTTTCCTACAATGGCATGAAACAGGAGCACGCGATGCGAAACACGTATAGAGTCCCTCCATCCCTCCCCAACTCACAACCTATTTCTGTTGCTTGTTAGATTCTTGAGTTTTCACAGAAACACAAGAAAAAATGGGAGGAGCAGGGAGGGTTTGGATCAGTACTGTGGTGGTGGTGGTGATGGCGGTGCTAGGGTGTGGACTCGGGGACTCTGCGTCGCCGTCGCAGCACGCGGCGCCGGCCCCGTCGGTGGACTGCATTAGCCTGATCTCGACCATGGCAGACTGCTTGCCGTTTGTGTCGAACGGGAGCACCGACACCAAGCCAGCAGAGACTTGCTGCAATGGCCTCAAGACTGTGCTCGAAGCCGACGCTTCCTGTCTCTGTGTGGCCTTCAAGAGCAGTGCTCAACTCGGCGTCGTTTTGAACGTCACCAAGGCCACGTCCCTCCCCGCTGCTTGCCAAGTCTCCGCTCCTTCCGTCGCCGACTGTGGATGTCTGTCTTTCTTCTTTCTTGTCTAAATACTCTTTTTACGTATTTATTTTATTTTAGATTTTTTGGAAATTAAGATTTGATGAATTACATTTTTTTTTAACCCTTTGTTTTGTTATTTTTTTTCAGTATCTGTCACTCCTGCTGGTGCCCCTGGTATGTTCTTAATATCATCTTAATGCTGCGATATTTGTGTTAATTCTTTATTGTTTATTTATTTAATTTATTCTTTTGTTTATTGTTTATTTCTTTTGTTAATTATACTTAGGTTTGGACAGCACTCTAGAATATTGAATTTATATTATATTTATTAACCATTTTATTTATTTATTAACTTGTCTGATTGGTTTGAGGCATTCTTCTTCTGGACTTTGCCTGATCTACACGACAGGCTACTGTTTAGAATTAAACGCATGTTTTAATCTTGAATAATAATTTAAGAAATAAACTTGGCTTCTCAATTCACTTCGTTTTTTATTTACAGAATTTCATGCTTATGATCGATACAATTTATATTATGAGGCACTTTGTAAAGACCATTTATGCAAAAGAATCAATAAAATAATCATTCAACTGTATCAAAACAGAGAATGAGTTTGATAAAAAAAATTACGAACTATTTATCTATTTGCTATTTTTAGTTGACTAAAAGATCTTATTTTTAAATGATTTTTTATTTTTTATAGAATGAAGGGTTCCTATTATAAGCATGAAGTTTCGTGAATCCACCACAAAGCATCTTGAGGAGGAGAACTCTCCTCCTTAATTTTAACGAGTCAAGCCTCTTTCATAATTTAATGACAGAATCTTTGATTTAACGAAAGGAAGCAATTTCTGCATACCCCTTTGCTATTTTTGCATTGTGCTCTTCATTTCTGTGCCTTTTATTGCAAAGAGAAAAGGGGCGTGCTTTAAATTATTTCTCTTAGATGAATTAATGTTTCTGCAAACTCCATAATGTCTACATTTACTACAGGGCTACTTTTGGTATGTGTGATGAGAATGTGGAATATGAGATCATCTCGAAATGAGATGTCAAAAGATAAATATCAAATGTTAATTTGATAGTTGATGTTGTAATGTCAGATTTTTTTTTTCTTTCCCAACCAATATTTTTGTTTTGTTATAAATGATATTGGTATGACTCATTTTAAAAAGAAATCAATTAAAATAAATTTTCAAGATCTATAATTGGTGTATTAATGAGATCCACACAATAAAATAATTAAAAATTATTTGAAATCCTCTTTTCTCATATGTCAATCCATATAGAATTGATATATCAGTTGGAGCTTGCTTCTACCTTTAAATTTGATTACATGGTATTCCACTTAAGATTTGACTTCTCCTTGGAAAATGAGAGATTTTTCAGTGTAACCAGAACACGAGGTGGTATACCACGTGTCACTATACAAATGATGGGATATGTGTTAAAAAGTTAATAACTTAAAAAATAAAATTTTTCATCACTTACATAAAAACACGTGATGTACCATCCGTGTTCCTATCATAATAAAAAACTTCTCGATGATCTGAGGCTTGGAAATGGGAAATCATTTCCTTTCCATGTTATATCATTATTCCAATTAAATATTGAAAAATCAATATCCCATATTAAATCTTCATACTCAGCTTTTTCCAATTTTATCCCTAATAGTAAATAGAAATACAAATTTGTCTTCAATTTTCACATTTACTGTTTTATCTTTACCATGCATGGTAATAAGAAAATGTTTGCCCATCCTCTAAGAAAAGACATGGGAATTATATGAGGGCATAAATTTGTTTTGATTTCAACTTTGGTGGGCTTGTCCGTTTGAGATTAGTGATTTGTATGTTTATAGGTGGTGGCGCTGGTGCACCAGAGTCGTCTGCTGGAGGGAATGAGCAAACAACACCTCCGGGAAACTCAGGTTCTTTTAGGCTCGCCAGTTCGGTTGGATCCCTGCTTGTTGGTCTTGTAATTGCATCATTCCCTTGTTTCTAATAGCTGAGTTTGGTGGTGACATTTTTTTTAGTTGAGAGGGATGATGATATAAGGAACTTATGATGTTTATTTTATCATTGGGTTAGTTCATTCTGAGGGGTGACTAAACTAGCTAGGTTTTAACGTTTGTTTTGGGGGTCACTCGAAACCTGTTTCGATGGCTTTTGTTGGTTGGATGTATATGTATTAATTGTTGAATAAAGCAGCAAGTCCCAAATCGGGCATGTTATAAGACAAATCACAACTTATATCAAATGATTCCACTTCTAATTGCATCGAGGCTTTTACCATAAAAACCCCCACCTATTGATTGCATGAGTGATTTAAGTGGAAACAATATCGATGCTGTTAGTGGTGGACCGTGACCTGTCTCTCTAAACATGGCATCAGAGCCTGCATGTGAAAGAGTTTCACCAGTGTTCCTCCTCATGCTATATGAATCAATTTTCACCACATTAATTTCCAATTCAGCAGTGCAAATCTAGATTTGAAAGCGAGCCAAAGCTAGTGTACTTTATATGCTCACTTTCTCGTTATGCATTCATCTCTTTGTTTTTGTCGCTTATGCTAGGTTGAAAACCCTTCTATAAAACCCACAAAATTGGAGCAAGCTAAGCTCTATTGGTTTGAGGGATTAAAGAGGTTGAGAAGTGAGTTTATACTTTTTAACCATTCTTCAGATGATTCTTCTTACCAAAACACACAATCTGTTGCTCAACATTCTCCGACGTTCTCAGAAACTTTAACATTAATCTCTATCCTGTTTCAGTATTTATGTACATTTTGCTCCCTTCCCTTTCAATTTGAAGTTTGAACAAAACAGTTCTTGTGTTGTGACTGCAATTTGCGAAAAAGCGGGATTAGGAAAAGCGGAGTAGAGCATAAGGCCTAAGTGGCAGGGTATTTGCAAGATGCATGATGTTGCAGATGTTGAGAATCATTAGGGTGGTTCCACTTGACAATCAAGTCGCAAATTTGAATTTTGTGATGATGTATAGATGATGTAGAAGCATTAGGTTGTGGGAGCTCCACAACCATGTCCCGATTTCAATCTTCTTAAGAACATGCCTGCTGTTCTCGTCAGTTTTTAGCAATTCAGCGTCCCATCATTCTGCTTGCAACGTCCCCGCCCAAATCAGGGTGGGGAGAGCAAACAATTGGTCCTTGGCTTGAGTACAAGGGTGATTCAGGAGTACAGACTGATTGTTTGATGTTTGAGTGGTATAGCTTACCAGCTCTTACCACCGCTGCCTATCGATATAGATGGGAGGTAAGCTGAAGAAAAAGCTGCGAGCAGACTGAATACTGTAGAAAGTGATCCAGTCGGGATAATAAACTAAGTTAACTTATTTGAGAACGCGATAAAAACGATGGAGAAGCTCGAGCTGAAACTCGAGGAAGAGGTTATTCGTAGTATCGACATGGCCAAACCATAACAGCCACTACTATCAACATTGATATCATCGTTTTACTTAAAGATAAACTATTCGTTGTGAAAATTTCAAAAGCGGTATAACTTACCAGCTCTTACCATTGTTGTCTCAGTAATGCACCCTTATACACATACAAAGTCTCTTGATTCTTTGACGTAAGGTTCACAATACATCCTTAATAACAAGTTTAGCAAGCTTATCGGTTACCTGATTCCCAGTTCGAGGTTGTGAAAGAAAAGAATACAATGGTCAAGTCGGCTATGCGCATTGCGCGACGACTTTAGAAAGCCAAAAAGTCCACCTCAAAGCATATTTTACTTTCGGCCGAGCGGTACCTTTTTTTATTACTAATAATACTACCATGGACTTTTTTTAATCTTTTAACTGAAACAAGAGAGCAATTTATATGATACAAGTACATTGTTTTAATGATATTTTGCATGTCAACAAGAGCAAATATATAAGGACACATGAGAGAACTAACCCAGAACACCACTATGACAGTGTACTCGTGCTTAGAGGTGGATGCACACTAGGACCTAGGTGGTTTCAGGACCACTTGGAGTTCAAAAATAGACATGTGAAGGTCTTCTAAAGACCCTCCGAATGTTTTGTACGAGTCCTTATTTACTTATTAAGTACTTGATGTAATACATGCTAAGTATATCTCAACAAGTTGCGTGAACAATACTCGACAAATTCTCTCGATATTACTCATATTAAGCATTCAACGAAACGCCTAAATGAATAAATTGATTTTTTTTATTTTTTTTTACGCGCTTTGTACTCTATTTCTATCTAGAAAACTTAGAACCACCCAAAATTCAAAATTCGAATCCTAAATGTGCGAATGCTCGTGCTATACAAATCCCTCCAAGACAAGAAATTAAAAGTACCGCAAGGCAAGACGACAGTTTATGATTCAACGCTGACCAAATTACACAGTACTAATAAAGAATATCACATCATATTATATATCATGCATTTATATAACACTACCTCGATGGTTGTTATGGAGAAAACGCGTTTTGTTTAGGAGTTACCGCTACTTAGCAATTTATTTTCTTCTTTCGCTGACCGTTTCTTCCTCGGACACGTTCCCTTAATCCATTTTTTAATGGTTGGATTATGATATAATTAAATATTATACAAAGATGGGATATGTTACTTTGTATATATTAGCCTTAACCCACATAACTCTTTTCCCATGCATTTCCAGAATCTTCACATAGCCATGAATACTTCTCTGCTAACTTCAAGCTGCGAAAACCCTAGCACCAGTGCTGCAGCTGCTAACCCTAAACCTTTTCTAACTTGTCATGCACGCAAAGTCACTAAAATTACATGCAGAGCTACAAATAATTACGAGAGCGATAGTACTAATCGTACCAATTTCTACAAACTACTTAATTTGAGTCCGAATACTAACACGAGCAAAGACGAGATCAAGCAAGCTTACAGAAGCATGGCGCTTCGCTATCATCCAGATGTATGTCACGATCAACATTATTCCAATATTTCCACCGAGCGATTTGTGCAACTGAATGAGGCTTATAAGACGCTATCGGATCCTCTGTTGCGCGATGAATATGATTACATGTTGGGTTTGAAAGATTATTGTAGGAGCAGCACCTTCAATATGGATAATTCTATTAGATATGATCAAGGTGCAGAAAATAGATGGCGCCAACAAATTCTTGAGTTGAACAGAAGGTCACAAAAGGAAGGATCGTGGGCCAGCAGAATAAGGAGAGGTCGCGATATTTCAACTATGGACTAGTTATTCCATCTCCTACTCATTTCATTCATTCGATCACATATTTCCTTTTTACGAAATTCTTGGACCAGTTCTGTACTTGCATAATAGTTTTTTTTTTTTTTTTAATTTCATTTGGTCAAATTGATTCTGGAAAATTATGGGGCCGATCTACTTCTTTACGATTTTTTTTTCTTATTCATATTAATAATTACTTTAGTCTAAAGAAGCTGGCAAAATTGCACTGTAGAAATGAACAGTGTTTTGCACCACATTTCAGTTTATTTACAAGATTACCACCGTCTCTTCAGTTTCAGATTTAAATTTTCAATTTATTTACGAAATTGCCACCCTTCAGCGTGTACGTGTCGACCATCGTAGAAAGGGTGGGGGATGGAAGCAAACCCGATGTTGTTCCAGAGATCTCTTCAACGACAAGCCCATTTTGCTCCAGAGCTCTTCAACGACAAAGTCGATTCAGCGCCTCACCGTCGCACACCTCGCCTTCCCCTCGCCTTCGCACACCTCGCCTTACCTCGCCGCCGCACTCCTTACCAGAACTCGAATCAATGGTAACGTGCCAATTGGATATATTTTTTGTCGATTTTTATCATTATTCTAGAAATTAGGGTTTGATCTAAATTTGGTGTGGGAGGATTTGTGGACGGATTTCAGGGAGAGAGGCGTGGGATGGCAGGGAGGGGAAGGGAGAGGGAGGAGTGAGGCTGCCAAAAAGGGGGTTAGGGTTGATTTTTTATCCCCAAATCAATTGTTGTTGTCGGTGATTGAACGAGCATTGGTTAGAGGGGAACTTTCATTTCCTTTGTTTCTGAACCGGAATGGGGTCGATGGGACCATGCTCTGTTGCACGTTCAGATGAGTGATTTGAGGGATTTGATTTGAGGGATTGGTGATCCCATCCCGTGTTTTCCCCTCATCTCTGTCACACTCAACCTCTCTCTAATCCTTTATGTTTCTCTCTCTTTTAGACTCTTCCTTTCTCTCAATTGTCCATCGCTCTCAACTTTAGTGCTAACCCTAATTTGTTCTTTCATTCCTTAATTTTCTCCATCCGAGCAATGAAAAATCGAACTGGGTTTTCAGATTATTGATGCTTCACGGACAGAGAATGGAGAGAGTTGATTAAGGGAGTTGGTGAGTATGGGCTTGCACAGAGGGAAGAACGCAGAAAGAGAGAGAGAGAGAGGGAGAGGGAGGGAACAATTGCACAGAGACAAAGAGAGAGACAGAGAGAGATCGCAGAAAGAGGAGGATGACAAAAATTGAGGAGGAACCCGTGTCTGCAGAGAATGAGTAAGTTCTGAACCAAAGCCTATTTTCTCTAATTTTTGGCTATGCGACAACAAATTTCTGAAGCAGAAGAATCAAGGAACCTTGCATTTAGAATTTAATCCTAATTTTTTTCTCTTTGCAGGACAAAAAACTACCAAGGAAGGAGGAGACTGCCAGGAATGTAAAACCCAGGCAGGAGAAGACAAGCAATGGCGGAGGAACCAAGGCTGTAGATCTTTGATAAAAGGTATAAATCCTTTTCGTTTCTGGTAGTTTACCCTCGCCTAAAAATGTGAAATTTAATATGGTGTTGATGAGTGTGTTTGAAGGCGGAAGAGCTGATCCTGTAATTTGATTGCATTGTCATGCTCGAAATCATTTATCAATTTTATTAAGTAATGTTTATATCTGCACCATCTTCTAACTCTTTTATAAATGTTTTAACCTTGATCTATTGTTTGATGATCGTTTTGTAGCACTGACAATATCATCGCTCTTTCCATTCCTTTATTTTTTGGTGAGTGCTCACTTATTAATATTGTTGTTGCTTTTAGTTTTTAAATTTTATGAAAAATGCAACCTTCAAACCCTGGTGAAGTCGATTTGGTATCTCAAGATTCCAAATTATTGTTTGCAGATTAGGGATTTGCATATTGCTAAAAGAGAGGAAGACATTGGCTATTGTGCTGGATATGTAGCTGAGTTGATGATTGTCGCTACTTACCTTTTGTATTCTTCACCGTTTTGTTCCTTAACAAGTGTCTTTCTTTGAAGGGGCTTCATAGATGCTTGGCAGAGTCCTGACATCAATTTTTTAGGGAATGGTGGCTGATATTGACTCAGATGAAGCCCCTATTTATATATCCTGATCATTTTTATGTTCTATCTTTTCTGACTTGGATGATATTGATCAAATGAATGAGTTAGAAACTGAAAGTTACATTTGTTCCATCAATATGTTGATCAAATGGATGAGTTAGAAGCTGAAAATTACATTTGTTTCTTGCTACTTTTTATACCGAACAGATTTTGTGTATGTATAGTGCTTTATTTTCAAGGTTATTTCTCTCAACACCATGTGAATGTACAAATAGTTCTTTCCCAATTCAACCAATTTAAAAATTGGGATTTTAACTGATGTTCGTCCATGGTTCCTTACTTTCCAGATATTGAAACATGCATAAATTCACCTGGAAATTATTCATGTCAATGTCCCAAAGGATACAAACATGAAGGCATGGATGAAAAGAGTTGTATCAAAGACAACAAATGGTCAAAGGCCATTCTCCTCATTATTTCATTAGGGATGCATGTTTTTTTTCTCATGTTAATATATTGCATATACAAGCCTAAATTTATTTTATTGGAGCCACTTTTGGATCCAAAATTCTCATAAAGTATGTCATTGATGAAAGTTATATTCTGGTGTCTTTTAGTGATCTTCATGTTTTTCGTACAAAATAAGATTGTTAGCTTCTATGGTAAGCAGTATTAACTATCAGGTATTTGTTTTCATATTGCATGAAATTTCCACTTTTTTCATCTTTGAATAGTCTCAAGCACGGTAAATATAATAGCACTAGAAAGTGAGGAAATCCACTTTCTTTGGTCAGGTTGGATTCTCTACTATGACTACCATTTTTATCTCTAAACAAATTTTTAATGGTATGTATGATATAAAAGGGTAGATTTAACTATTTTGGTTTCTTTGTTCTCACACTTTGGTGCCTGGAGTTTTAATTTTTCATAGTTGTGTCTGAGTTGTTTTCCAGTTACAATTCGGGTGCCATTGGCAACTTCTAGAGGACCAAAATTGTTTTCAGGTCAAAATACAGGAACCAAATTGTAACTAGACTAGGAGATTACATTACCAAAGTAGGAAAGTTCGGTCTTGATTCATAGTTTGGCAACATAATATGTATGTAGGATGTTGTTTTGGAACCGCTTGGTAAGTGTTAAATACATCCTATAACATGACTGACTAACAAGCATGGTCGTTCAGATATACATGCAATTGAGATCACTGATTAAATCAGATTTCTTTTAAATGGAAGCAAATCTTGCCTATTAGGTGTTTGTGAAAATTCCCCAGAGAGTTAGAAACAAGGATATGATGCAAATCTGAATGTAGGTTGTTTTGGTATGTGTGTGTACGTATAGGGGTGTTATATTGATATGAAATGACATAGAAAAGGATACACATCATTCGAATATCTCTATGTTCCTAGGTTGTTTTTCCATTTCTTGGTTGCTTCTGTATTTTTGGGATGCACTTATAAATTTTATTTTTCATATGCATGTAGATCCAGCAAAAGCATACACATCAAACCCCCTCATTCACACAACAGCCACCAAAGAGACCATTACTGAGGTATTTCTCAATCCATTTAAAAAATTTTTGTTAACTTTTGTTAACTTTTATACAAACTAATTTCTAATATAATTCTCCTTACTGTGTTTGGATACAAACTCTTTTTCCCTCTAATTTTTTGCCATGTCATGTATCCTTGCAGCTCAACCACCTGCAAGTTTTTGAGAAACAAAGAGCCTCATCCACAGGAATCTGTAATTCATAGCAGCAGGTATATCCTAAACCTTTCGTTATCATCTCCTTATTCATGAAAACTTTTTCCTTCTATTTTTTTGTTGATACAGTATATAGTGTCCTTTTTCTAACTGGGAGAGAATCATTTCGTATTATTTGGATTTGAGAACACTAGCATACACATGTCCTGGTTTTTTGGCATGCAACTAAAAGTGTGAAACATCAATTTGAGAAGAGTAAGACTAATTTCCTGGCTTTATTTATTTATTTATTTTATTTTAAAACCAAGCCTACATTCTTTAAAGCCACTATTAGTATTTAACTATGATTTGAATTAATTGATCTGTGGGGTGTTTCAATTGATCATCTGCAAATAAATATACAGTTCTTTAGTGGTACCAAAGGGTTGACAGTGGGAGTTCTTAGTCATCCAAATCTATTTCAACGCTGGACGAAGAGTTCAAACATATGTTATTCTCTTATATATTTGTATTTGAATGGTAACAATGTTGTTCTTCTGCTGCAAAAATCATCCTTTTAATCCATTTCAACTTAGGCTCAACTTTACTTTCGTTTCAGCTTCATTTTCATGTTAATCATGTCCTTGGTTGCAGAGAGAAGGTGACGATGGGTGCACGATTAGGGGGACAGAGAGAGTTGATTGGGTACAAGATTTGAGGGTAGGGTTGAGGGAATAAGTGTGTTGGCTGTAAAGAGATGGTGGGTTTGAGTTAGTATCTCCCTCTCTATTGCTTCTCTCTTCCTCCATATATGACATCTTCGTTTTGGCTTTGGGGTCAAAATATGTTTGCTTTTACATAGAAATTTGAGTGTTTTATTTATTTATTTGGGTTTTTGTAGCTGATACATATTATGTTTTGTGTTTCTGGGTTTTATCACGTTGCTGATGCATAAACCCATCAGTTCCTCTGTAATTCGTTCCGGTTTTCATTATTCTTTTTCGATTTCTTTTGTCAAAATTGAAATGGAATTTGTTGGCTTGATTTTGTATTAGGTTGCCAGAGGGTTCTGTTTTTAGGGTTCTCTCCGTCCCACTCACTCTCCCTCTCCCTCTCTGTTTCTCTTCTTCAATCAGTCTGACGTAGTTTTGCAATTTAGGGTTCAGTGCATTTACTGGAATATACATACATATAAATGTTTAAATTTGTTCAATTTTTCTATACACAGGCTGGGTTAATTTGATTCTTGACCAATGATTGGTTATTATATTACAATTGTGGGTTCTGTTTTTAGGGCTGGATGAAAAGAAACACCCGTCAGAGCTTTCAACAACTCGAAGGTCAGTGATTTCTTCCTTCTCTCTAATTCTGTTTCTGCTATTTCAATTTGTAGGATTTAATTTAGGGTTTTAAGTTGGAAAATTTAATTAAACATTTTCAGTTGGAGAGCTTGGTGTATTCAACAATTAGGGTTGTTAATTTTGATTGCTGGTCTACTAAATGTTTTAGAACATGTAAACAGGGAGTACATACTTTGTATGCCATGGATAGGGAATGGATACGTAATTAGATCAATTGATGGGTGCCGCTGTTTTGGATATCTACATCCAGCAATACCTGGTATTCTGTGTTTTGTTGTAATGGATTGGAATTTCTACTAGAATCATTATTATTATTATTATATATTTAGGGGTTGGGTAAATTGATTTTGGAGATTTTGTATATGGTTTGGGTTCTTTGATTTTGTTTAGATAGATGGTGCTTAAGTTTTTTTAGTATATTCCCTGCACATTGCAAAATTTTGGTACTATTTGGGTGTTTTGGTGTTGAAAGCTTAGGGTTTAGGGTTTAGCGTTTAGCATTTAGGGGAATGCAAAGAAGGCATGTCTGCGTTTTTGAACTCTTATGCAAATCTAATTTGAAATCATGAAACACATTTCCTATGTTTCTCAAATCTCAGCAATAGGTTTTAGAATCCTGAAATCTAAGTAAAGTTACATCATTCCTGTTTTCGTATTTTTTTAATTCCTATCATCCTGGCCACGATTAAACGTGAATATGCAAGCCAACCTTGCATACTCAGTGATTAATTTCTGGATGAATTTTTCTTTAGAGGAGGGTTTGTAGATATGAATACTTGAGGGGCAGATGCTCACCATGTCATGTATCCTTGCAGCTCAACCACCTGCAAGTTTTTGAGAAACAAAGAGCCTCATCCACAGGAATCTGTAATTCATAGCAGCAGGTATATCCTAAACCTTTCGTTATCATCTCCTTATTCATGAAAACTTTTTCCTTCTATTTTTTTGTTGATACAGTATATAGTGTCCTTTTTCTAACTTGGAGAGAATCATTTCGTATTATTTGGATTTGAGAACACCAGCATACACATGTCCTGGTTTTTTGGCATGCAACTAAAAGTGTGAAACATCAATTTGAGAAGAGTAAGACTAATTTCCTGGCTTTATTTATTTATTTATTTTATTTTAAAACCAAGCCTACATTCTTCAAAGCCACTATTAGTATTTAACTATGATTTGAATTAATTGATCTGTGGGGTGTTTCAATTGATCATCTGCAAATAAATATACAGTTCTTTAGTGGTACCAAAGGGTTGACAGTGGGAGTTCTTAGTCATCCAAATCTATTTCAACGCTGAACAAAGAGTTCAAACATATGTTATTCTCTTATATGTTTGTATTTGAATGGTAACAATGTTGTTCTTCAGCTGCAAAAATCATCCTTTTAATCCATTTCAACGTAGGCTCAACTTTACTTTCGTTTCAGCTTCATTTTCATGTTAATCATGTCCTGTTTGTGTGTGTTTTCTGTTGGCATTGGAGGGTGGTGCTTAAACTGAAAGCTCTGGGTTTATTTATTTATTTATTTTATTTTAAAACCAAGCCTACATTCTTTAAAGCCACTATTAGTATTTAACTACGATTTGAATTAATTGATCTGTGAGAGGACTGATTCCAAAATACATCTTAACAGCTTTATCTGGCTGATAATTCAGAACATTATCAAGTCTAAATGATTGGTCGTCAGTTAAACCCTTCTGAGATATACCCTTTGTTTGTTGCACTCTCACAAATTTAATCCGTTCCACCATCACAGTTTTTTTAGCTTTTACAGTTTTCCCACGGTTTCTGGAATGCTTTTTCGATCTTAATATTATCTGCTCTGTTGCTTGCTGTTATCAAATTTTAAAAATTGAAACAACGTTATAGTTCTAACCAAAATTTGTCAAGGCCAAGGATGTAACCATCTTTGGTTTCACATTGTTAATTTGAATTATGAAGTTATGAGTGAATAAATTGGGAGCCTGAAATGTGTGTCTGCCACATGGGTTGGGTTGGGTTGGGTTGGGTTGTATTAGCGACTCTGTGTGAGTGTAGAGGTGGGTGTGGAGGTGGAGGTGGAGGTGGTGGGATGGTGGTTTTGTTTTTGCGCCATCCCAAGACCAAGGAGAATGCATGTGAGAAAATGTGATGAGTTTTAAACTCATCACTCACTTATTAGTCAAGTCAACCATTTTCCACTCAACTCTGATCTGCCAATTTGCCAATTGGCATATGGTTTTAAGTTGAATAGGTTTAAGGATTAGGTTTGGTTGGATTTCAACCATTAGATTTCGGATTAAACGCATTAGGTTGAACGATTAGATTTGGTTGGATTTCAACCATTACATTTCCTAGATTTGAAATCTGTTTACTATCTCATTTAATTGTTGTATGTTACCTCATTTAACTCAAATTTAATGATATTTGCTCCTCCAATTTCTCGGATTTCCTAACGGATTTACTTTCTTTGGAAATTTCAGGAACCCTGATTCTGGGAGGAAGAATACACTGCATTGCCATCTTTAGGTATACAATTCTGCACACTGATTACATGTTCAAAAGCCTAATTAGTTATACACCCATTTTTTTTATTACCTTTGCAAAGCTTTTGTACTTAGATTTTAAATATGTGATTAGTTTGTAAAGAATAAACGAGACAACTAATCATGGGTACATACTTCTTTTTTGATTTTATCCTCTGCATTGTTTCTTGAATGAAATTGGATTCATAGATGTAGGGATACAGCAACAACTGAGGTGTGAATAAAAGGTCTAGCCTTAACGATTTTAGGGTTTAGAATTGATTCGAAAATATGAGAAAATGCTGCATTCTCTGTTTTTTTTTTTTTTTTTTTTTTATTTATTTTTTTGCTGTAGTGATTCCAACTTAGTATATACCCATTTTTATGGTACCATGAATAAAGAATATGCAATTGCTTGGATCTCAATTTGATAATCCGATTATAAATGGATCTATATAAATCAAGGCTAATTCAGTCCAACTTGATATAGTATGACTTAATATAACATATCCTTTGATCTTTATATTACTTATGGTTTTCTGTAGTGGTAGTTTAATTAAAATCGAAAAATATAATAAGAATGAGGTTACTCATTCATTATATTTTAATATTTTCTAGGTTTTAAATTAACTTTGATCTATCCAAATATGATGTTAATCGATTCTGAATCAATAAATAAGATTTGGTGATCCAAATAGGATTCAAAACTGTTAATTCGATTTCAAATATGATGTTACATGTACTGTAGATTGGTCACAGCCTAATAAGAAGACTAACTGGAAGTGATTTAGCCCTTCATTCTCATTTTTTTTGTTCAGTCCAGTGGCAAGAAAAAATAAGGGTGCCTGAAAATCATTTACCTAAGCATATATGTTTAACAGCTTCCTTCACTGTAGATTAATATCCAACGATTCTAACCTATATTATATCGTTTATATACTTTTGGAAGTATGTTATGCTCTATTTGATCCCGAATAAGAAATGACATAGGTTTGTGGCTTCCATTGTTATTAAGTTGTATCCTTTTCTACTTGGGTTCCAAGAAACCATTATAATGAATTAATCAATTTTTTTTATTCTAAGGAAGTATGTATTCATCATTGTTTTTTTTTTTTTTGAACAATTTCAATTAATATAACTATGACCATTTGTCTACTATTTTATATCTTCTGTTCTTTTTCCTTTTTGTAGACTCCCATTGCCATGTTGTTCTCTTGCTGCTAACTGATTTAGTTGGGGTATCTTAACAAGAGTGTTGTCTTTACGAAGCCTTTTTTGTTTTTTGTTTTTTTTTTTTTTTGTGGTGTTACTTTTACGGTGGGGATATTCCTTAATTTTTTCTTTAAAGTGAGGAAGATTTAACAACGCGTTTTTTTGTTTGTTTTGGTGGTGTTACTTTATGAATTTTTAGTTAGGAAGATTTAACAATGCCTTTTTTTGTTTGCTTTACTTTGTTATGTCTTGATAAACGCAAGTTCAGCAACAGGTTGCTGAAATGATCACTTATATAGCCTCTACTGCAAAACAATTTCCTAAGAAATGTGTATTACTTTGTCTTCTGGGTGAGCGTTCTCTAATTTAGATTAGACATCGGGACTCGAAGCTTGGTTTGTTTTCTGTGTCTCCTTCACTGTATCTGTTCTGTGGATGAACAGGTAGATGTCAACTCTAGCATTTAATGGTGTTGTGCACTTTGACAGGTATATGTGAATGGCTCACAGAGTTTTTCTGAATCTGTAGATCCAGTGGGCCCTCATGACACTGTTATATCCAAACCAAAGTTTGGCGAATTTGATATATGTTGGATACAATGGCAGTTCTGCTTCAGCTATCCATGTTACTAGAAGATCAGAAGATCATAAAAGGCAAAAAACAGAAAGAAATGTTAGCTGCTTCGTTTTTTGTCCTAAAAATGCAGAAAAATCTCCTCTTTTAAATTCATTCATAGGAAGGTATGGCTTTCCCCCTTCACTATACTCAACATAGTTATTGCTCCTGAAACTACCCAATTTTCTTTTCTTTTTTCTTTTCAAACTGAGACAAAGCTCACTGTGTCTGCTATCCCTTTCCTGTTTGACTCTGGTCTATCTTCCATTTTAGAAAATATTTGTGGTGACTAGATTTAATCTTTCATTTTGCTTTGTTAATTTGTTGTTGCCAATTTTGACCTCAGGCCTTTCTTAAAGAGCGAGACTATACCTACTGGTGAGCGTTATGCAGTGAATGTCATTAACCAGATTGGGGTGAGTACTATCATATATAACACTTTTTGCTTTGAGAAAGGTAACGGGTAAGGGAGGTATGAGTATGGGTTTTTAGGGCCGGTTTCTAGGGAGGTGGTCTGGTGTCAGTGCCTTCACGGGGTGGGGGTGTGTGATATGGGGGAGAGAGGAGAGGGTGTTGGTTCTGAAAAAACAAAGCAACATGTGGATTTCTGTCTTTCTATATCATGCTTATGTTGAAATGTTGGATAGGTAAATGTTTTTTGTTGTTCTGGTTTTAGGACTTCATTAATCGTTTAGAAGCGCAGCCAACGATGTGAGAGCAGAAGGGGAGCAAGCATGTGAGGTAATTTTTTGTGTTGAATTAAGTGGTTCTGAATTCAGTCGAACATTTGTGTGCAAGTTTGGTTTCTATATCTATCGCAATTCATGCTTGCAGTGATATTATTGTAACATCAAATCCTAAAATGTATTGTGTCAAAAACCAATAAAAGGAATGTAATGTGTAAGTGAGTTTGATTATTCAATTGCAAAATTTTTAATTTTTAGAATGAGAGTTGCAATTAAAATTAATGGAGTGCTGAGCAGAAGTTTAATTAATTCAGTTTTGATAAATGATTGAAGGTTGCTCTATGATTCTTTTGCTGTTTTGATAACGAAAGGGATAGAACGAAAATGAAAGCTTAGAATCTGGTGAATAATATGTTGGCATGTGTGTGTGTTCTCTTCAGGAGGATCGGTTGATGTTTTTAATTGTATAATTTATTTTCATTGGTCTAAATGCACGTCCGATTGCTTGCCTTCCCATAGATGGGTTAAGTTGGACATCCAGAAGAATTTGTTTGCATAGGAACTTTTTTGCTTCTTTTCGATGTGATCTGTTTTGTTAAAGGTGATGATAAAGATTTATCAACATTGTTTATTCGGAGTTAGGTGGAAATTGGGAGGGAGTAAATTGTGATTCTAAACAGGACCATCGTGAGATATTCTTTTAAACTATGATTTATATTCTTTGCTATAGTGCGGAAGACTTAGCTGCTTGAACAAGAACGACTGCTGCAGGGCGTTCTACATGTTTTTGGCTTTCAACATTTTTGCTTCGAGACTTTGCTGCTTGAACAAGAACGAAACACCATCTTAACTGCAAGGCAAAATACGTGTGGACTGGATGTTACTTCCGTTTCTTACTGAAACAGGCGTCTTGCATGTTTTTTGCTTTGCACGTTTGTGCTTGAAAACTTTGATGCTAGAATAAGAACGAAACAGTTTTTATGTTGCCTAACCTATAGGATATATATTTTGCCACATTGACTACAGGGGCAAGATTTGTGTGAACTGTATGTTACTTCTGTTTATTAGGGAACCAAAACGTTCAGTTTCGTCATGTTCATTATACAATGTCTTTTCATGTCAACTCAGTTGAATGTATATAAAAACGAAGCTGCATATCGTACTAACCTCATTCACTCATCTATCCCTTTCTTCATTTATGATTGTGTTGAATTTATTCAAGTAAAATGTATCTTATTCATGTAGTTCAAGGTGATGCATTCAAGTCCCGCAACAACGCGCGGGCACATTTTCTAGTTTAATACTAATATTCTTGAGATTTACAAGTCAATGTATTAATGTGTGAGCTGACCTTACATTACAACAAATTAATTTACAACACAGTTTTGCCCTACACTTTTGTTCCATATGGCATAGAAGATGATATATACATTTCATATATATATATATATATATATATATATATATGAAATTAAAATAGATGGTTCGAATCATTGTAAAAGAATGTGCATTTGGCATCACAAGTTGTCTGCATTTCTTATAAAAAATGGGAATCTATTTCCTTGACTCCTCACAGAGATCCCAACCCCTAGGTACATATGGTAGACTAAGGAAGATCAGCTCGACAAGCACAAATACAACTACAAAGTCCACCCGGTGCAGATTTGGACTCGGTGCTACGACTTAGGCCCATGACCAGCAATTTCCAAGAGAATGACATCAAAAGTTTAGCAGATTACCATGTTGTGCTTTATGGGTTTTTAAGCGAAAGACTGGCGATGTATTTGTAGAGTGCTCAAAGGAAAACTTTAATATTGTTACATTGTTAATTTTAAATTCTTTACTGTAACCTGAAAGTGATTTTCCAAAAACCAAATGCCTACCTCAATTGAGTGAGAATAAATGTCATTTGAAGACAATGGTCTATCACAATATTAACGTTTACAAACTCAAATTTAGGGAATTTGGATGTTTAGAAGTGTTTTTTCAGTCAGGATCGATGTATAATATCAACCAAGATCTTTAGTCCGTTACATCTTTAGCTAATAAATTTTCAATCATATATCTAATGGCTTTTTGTTGAAAAGTCTCAAACTTCTGTTGGCAATGAATGCCCACAAAGCTAGTCATCTGCATGGGCAAAGTTTTCAATGCCCATGCTGAATGAAAGTGTCAGATGTACATTTTAATTTTCAAGATGCATTAACTGCATCAGTTCGAATTGCTCTATAAATAGAGCACTCCGCATGTAACAGAAATGAGATGAAGAAGAAATACAAGAGAGAAATATCAATAACATCATATATTCCTCTGCCTTTTATTATCTGTCTGTGCTATAGTTTTTGTGTGGCATTTTACATCTACCTTGCACCTACCACTTAAAAGGTTATCTCTCAAACTTTAACCCTTTTATAACACGTTATCAGCACGAGTCTCTAAATATATTTATTCTTTCATCTCTCTTCGCCGAACGAACGAAAGAAAAAAAAATGTTTCCTTTAAGGTTTTTACTGTTCATCTTCTTCCTCTGCCTCAACTGCGCCGTGTACCCTCGCGACGAGTTGTTTGCTCCATGCCTGCTCATAGTTCTCCAACTAACGGTTACATACATCTTTGATTACTTGTTTGGTGTAGAGATTGATTACTAACCTAGTATTTATTTGTGTTAATTCTACTGCAATCCAAGATGGTGCGGTACAATCGCCCATCTTGAACTGCAAATTTAATCTTACTGCGATCCAAGACGGTGCGGTATCATCGCCTATCTTGAACTGCAGATTTAATTTTACTGCAATTTTTAGGTGGAGCGGTATAATCGCCTACGCTGCTCTGCATATTTAATTTTCCTGTTACTTGAGTGGTGCGGAATAATCGCCCATTCTATATTGCATTATTTCAATGAGAATGGTGCGGTACGATCGCCCTCCTCATTCACCCTGAAAATCTCGAGCCAGAAGTTTCGAGTGCTTATCATTTTGGCCTGAAGATCAAAATGAAAAATTTGTAAGAACCAGAAGTTCTAACATCATATTCCTTCAGGAATACATATTATTGCAAGTTCTTACACATCTCATTTTCTTTCAGAAAAGAAAATGGCGAACTTGGCGAAACTTGAATTTGCTGCCCTGGATATTACCGGGAAGAATTATCTGACCTGGGTACTGGATACCAAGATCCATCTGGAAGCAGGGAATCTTGGAGATACCATCAGGGAAGAGAGCAACTCATCCTCTCAAGATCGGGCAAAGGCCATGATTTTCATTCGCCGCCATCTTGATGAGGCGCTAAAGAGCGAGTACTTAACGGTTGAAGATCCGTTAGCTCTCTGGAATGCCTTGAGAAGCAGATACAATCACCAGACAACGGTGATTCTTCCAAGGGCCCGCTATGAGTGGACTCATCTGAGGATTCAAGACTTCAAGTCAGTGGCAGAATACAATTCTGCATTGTTCAGAATTACCTCTCAGATGAAGCTCTGTGGGGATATTATTACTGAGGAGCATATGCTGGAAAAGACTCTCAGCACATTTCATGCCTCCAACGTGCTCCTGCAGCAGCAGTATAGAGCGCGAGGCTACACTGAGTACAACCAGCTGATATCTGTGCTCTTAGTAGCTGAACAGAATGATGAGCTCCTGATGAAAAACCATCATTCCCGACCTACTGGATCTGCACCATTCCCAGAAGTGAATGCTGCTTCCCTCGGAGTGAACACCACATCCTCTGGTGGTGATAATCATAAACGAGGACGTGGTCACAAGCGAGGTCGATGGAATAGGAAAGGCAAGAACCATGGAGTTCAGTTTCATAACCAAGTCCCCAGGAATAATTCAGGCCCGAGTTTCAAAAATGTGAATCGCCACAAAGGCAAAGCTCATATGAACAATGCTCCTAGAAACTCTGAAGGAGCCTGCCATAGGTGTGGTGGCAATGGGCATTGGGCGCGTACTTGTCGTACCCCAAAACATCTAGTGGATCTGTATCAAGCCTCCCTCAAGGAGAAGGGTGTCGAGACTAACTTTCTCGACGAGGCTAGACCAATGGATATACCTGATCCAGTGTTTGACTTATCAGGGCAGTTGAACACAACTCATCTAGATGTTTCAGACTATATTGTAGAAAGGGGAAATGAAGTATATCGGTCCGATTGAATCATTAATGTACTTTTATTATGAACTTGTAGTATTCTCAGATTCAATAAAAGTGGCATGTAAATTTTCTTGTTATAACTTGCTTTTAAATCTGATTCTCTTACTCAGAGAGCATGGATAAAAACTGTGGTTATTCTCAGAACATGAGAAATGGTGGAGATATTTGTCTTGCAGACAGTGCAACCACACATACAATACTTCGTGATCGAAAGTATTTCTCAAGCTTAATACCTACAAGAGTAGGGGTAACAACAATATCAGGACCTTCAGATGTAATTCAAGGTTCAGGGCAAGCCCAGATTATGTTACCAAATGGAACAATATTGTCTATACATAATGCATTGTATGCTACTCGATCTACTCGAAATTTGTTGAGTTTCAAAGACATACGTCTAAATGGATACCACATTGAAACAAAAAGTGAAGAAAATGTGGAGTATATATGCATTACCTCCAATGATACCCAGAAGCGTATATTGGAGAAGTTGCGTGGTATGTCGAGTGGATTATATTATACATACATAAGGACAATTGAATCACATACTGTCATGAACCAGAAGTTCATTGATTCAAAGGTTTACATGCTTTGGCATGACCGTCTGGGTCATCCAGGATCTACCATGATGCGTAGGATCATTACCAACTCTAATGGACATCCATTAGTGAGCAGACACATTGCTGCCTCAAATGATAACCCTTGCAAAGCTTGTTCTCAAGGGAAGTTGGTAATTAGACCATCACAACTAAAGGTTGATGCTGAATCCCCATCATTTCTGCAAAGAATTCAAGGGGATATTTGTGGGCCTATTCAACCATCATGTGGACCATTTCGATATTTTATGGTTTTGGTTGATGCATCTACCCGATGGTCACATGTTTGTCTCTTGTCTACTCGGAATGTAGCCTTTGCGAGACTTCTTGCTCAAATAATTAAGTTACGAGCACAGTTCCCAGATTATCCTATTAAGTCAATCCGACTTGATAATGCTGGTGAATTTACGTCTCAAACCTTTGATGATTATTGCATGACATTGGGCATTGATGTTGAACACCCTGTTCCTCATGTCCATACTCAAAATGGTTTAGCAGAAGCATTGATTAAGCGGCTTCAGTTAATAGCTCGCACTCTGCTCATGAAAACCAAATTGCTAGTCTCTGCATGGGGACATGTCATCCTACATGCTGCATCATTGGTTCGATTGAGACCTATAGCCAATCATCAATACTCTTCAGTACAACTCGTGTTTGGACATCAGCCCAACATTTCCCATTTACGAGTTTTTGGTTGTGCTGTTTATGTGCCTATTGCACCGCTGCAACGCACTAAAATGGGACCTCAGCGTAGACTGGGAATTTACGTGGGTTTTGATTCACCATCTATCATTAGATATTTGGAACCCTTGACAGGTGATATGTTTACAGCTCGTTTTGCTGATTGTCATTTTGATGAGACAATTTTCCCGTTGTTAGGGGGAGAAAAGACCGTTCCAGAAGAACGGAAAGAGCTGACATGGGTTGTTCCCACCTTGTCTCATTTTGATCATCGCAACATTCAATGTGAAAATGAAGTGAGAAGGATCGTTCATCTTTAAAGCATTGCCAATCAAATGCCAGATGCATTTAATGATGCTATGAAAGTGACAAAATCAAATATACCAGCTGCAAATGCACCTGCAAGAATTGATGTCCCTGTTGGACAAAATAAAGTGGTAGCAAATGATTCATCTGGTGCACGCCTGAAGCGTGGTAGACCCCCAGGTTCAAAAGATTCAGCTCCTCGAAAGAGAAAGTCGAGGGCACAACTGAATCCAAATGAAATCATTCAGGAAGAGAAAATGAATGATACATCCACAATTCATAATTCTGGACTTCCAGAAAATGAAAATGTCCTTGATGAGACATCTGTCCCTGAAGAGACAGAAATACATGAAAGCAAAGAAATCTCCATAAATTATGCATGTACAAATGAATTGTGGGATCGGAATGAAATAATCATTGATGATATGTTTGCATTTGCAGTAGCCACTGAAATCATCTTAAGTGATGATATTGAGCCCCGCTCTGTTGATGAATGCAAACAGAGACAGGATTGGCCTAAGTGGAAAGATGCAATCCAGGCAGAATTAAATTCCTTGGAAAAGCGGAATGTTTTTGGACCAGTAGTCCAAACCCCGCCTAGTGTAAACCCCGTGGGTTACAAATGGGTATTCACAAGGAAACGCAATGAGAAAAACGAGATCGCAAGATACAAAGCACGACTCGTTGCACAAGGTTTTTCTTAAAGACCTGGAATTGATTATGAGGAGACATACTCTCCTGTAATGGACGCAATTACGTTCCGTTACTTAATAAGTTTAGTGGTTTCAGAAAGACTTGACATGCAAATTATGGATGTCATCACTGCGTATCTATATGGAGAATTAGATACTGACATCTATATGAAAGTCCCAGAAGGACTTAAGTTGCCTGAAACAAGTAATAAACCACGAGGTATGCTCTCGATCAAATTAAGGCGATCATTGTATGGTCTAAAGCAATCTGGACGAATGTGGTATAATCGTCTCAGTGAATATTTGATCAAAGAAGGGTATATCAACAATGTTATTTGCCCTTGTGTGTTCATTAAGAAATCCAATTCTGGATTCGCTATAGTGGCAGTATATGTTGATGATATGAATCTAGTTGGGACTCCTGAAGAGCTCAATAAAACTGCTGAATATCTGAAAAGCGAATTTGAAATGAAAGACCTTGGAAAAACAAAATATTGTCTCGGCCTGCAGATCGAGCATTGTGCTAGTGGAATTTTGGTTCACCAATCAGCTTACATTGAAAAAATCTTGAAGCGATTTGGTATGGACAAGGCTTATCCACTAAGCACGCCAATGGTCGTTCGTTCTTTGGACATTAAGAAAGATCCATTTCGTCCAAAAGAAGATGATGAGCTGGTCCTTGGTCCAGAAGTACCATATTTGAGTGCAGTAGGTGCTTTGTTGTATTTAGCACAATGTACTAGACCAGATATAGTTTTTTCAGTTAATTTGTTAGCAAGGTATAGCTCTGCTCCAACAATTCGCCATTGGAAAGGTATCAAAGATGTATTGCGATACCTTCGTGGGACAACAGACATGGGTCTCTTCTACTCAAAGAACTCCACAGATGACCAGGTCCTTGTTGGATATGCAGATGCTGGCTTCCTCTCTGATCCGCATAAAGCCCGCTCACAAACTGGATATGTGTTTAAGAATGGAGATACAGCAATCTCATGGCGCTCAACCAAGCAAACATTAGTTGCTACATCTTCAAATCATTCAGAAATACTTGCTTTACATGAAGCAAGTCGTGAATGTTCTTGGTTAAGATCAATGATCCATCATATCCGGAATTCATGTGGTCTAACTTCGAAGACAGACAATCCAACTGTCATCCATGAAGATAATGCAGCCTGTGTTGCCCAAATGAAGGAAGGATTCATCAAGGGCGATAAGACTAAACACATATCTCCAAAGTTTTTCAGTGCTCATGAGCTTCAGAAGGCTAAAGTTATTGAAGTCAGACAAATCCGTTCAAATGAAAATCTGGCAGACTTGTTCACCAAATCTCTACCAAAGTGCACATTTCAGAAGTTAGTGCAAGGCATCGGATTACGTCGACTTACCAAACAGCTAAATTTGGAAAATGCGGAATCAGGGGGAGAAACATATCAGGGGGAGTATCCATGATACATGCTTGTTGTACTCTTTTTCCTTCGATTAGGATTTTTCCCACTGGGTTTTTCCTATCAAGGTTTTAACGAGGCAACATAAGCATACTTGACACTATATCAACAATCCAGGAAAAGTTGTACTCTTTTTCCTTCGCTATGGTTTTTTTTTTCCCACTGGGTTTTTCCAAGCAAGGTTTTAACGAGGCAACTCATGTTGATATGTGGGCATCCAAGGGGGAGTGTTGAAAAGTCTCAAACTTCTGTTGGCAATGAATGCCCACAAAGCTAGTCATCTGCATGGGCAAAGTTTTCAATGCCCATGCTGAATGAAAGTGTCAGATGTACATTTTAATTTTCAAGATGCATTAACTGCATCAGTTCGAATTGCTCTATAAATAGAGCACTCCGCATGTAACAGAAATGAGATGAAGAAGAAATACAAGAGAGAAATATCAATAACATCATATATTCCTCTGCCTTTTATTATCTGTCTGTGCTATAGTTTTTGTGTGGCATTTTACATCTACCTTGCACCTACCACTTAAAATGTTATCTCTCAAACTTTAACCCTTTTATAACACTTTTCACATAATTTATATTGTGAGCAGTACCACTCATGAATTTTCGTTTTCCAGAACAAAGATAAAATGAAGAAACAGTACAAATTGTGCTTCGATTGTCAAACCATTGTACATCACCATCACTTTCAATTCGTGACCAGGAAAATAAAAGGAAAAAATGAAAAAGAAAAAAATAACATGTCAATATCAACAGGGCCATAGCTCACATGATAAAATGTGCACCCACATTTATGTCTTTTTATTTTTGGAAGACCTACCTCTTGGAGTAGTTACCCTTAAACAGAAGCTGATGACATATATTAAAATTGACCCATTTTCCTTCTGTCTGGGGTAACCTTTGAATGGGATTCAACCGGTTAATAACTCTGCCTTCTTCACTTTTGAAATGCTCTCCACTACTCCAACTGGTGAAACGTGTCCCCTAACAGTTACCATCTTTGTCTCTAGGTCTATACTGAATGATGTAACCCCTGGCATATATACAGAATCCCAAAAGTATCAATCATCAACTTCTATATCATTTAATTTCCAAAATTTTATCTATAAATTTAGTCTCTCTAACATTACCTTTCTTGAAAATGTTAAATAATAAATTGCAAGGATAAACAAAAAAGAAACAAAAATTGTTTAGTGAAAAGTACGCTTAGTAAACCAACTTTAGGAGATTTTAGTGTAATTTATCGAATTTACAAAAGTTTTGAAAAAACATGATAAATTTTAAAGGGTGTCAACTGAAATGGTCGAGGATCCTCTCCGGATCCTCTTTGTGGGGATCTGGAGGATCAACCGTTCATCGTACATTGTGCGATCAATTTTCATTAGGTACTGTTTATATTTAATTTTAAATAAAAAATTTAAAATGATTTCTAACCTCACAATGTACGATGAATGGACACGATTGATTAATCCATTGGATCCACACAAATAGAATCCGTATGGGATCCTATTCCAATTGAAATAACTCGTAACTAAGATTGGTCCCTCCCTTTGAAGGACATATAAAGTGAACCAAACCTTCTAAAAGAAAATTAAACACAATAGAATTAAGGAGGACCACTACAAAAAAAAATTAAAAAAAATAAGGTCTGGTTGCCTATAATTTTGCCTTACAACATTTCGTCAGGCAATGTTTGTCGCACAAAACACGTCACTTAGGCATTTGCCTGACGAAATTATAATTTCTTCGAGTAAACAAAGTTTGCTCAACGACATTATTTCGTTAAGCAGAGGGCGTTGACCAACTTGGCCCGATTCGTTGGGCAAAATTTCGTCAAGCAAATGGTAAATTTTGATGGTGACCCTAAGAAAAAAAAGTCTACATATTATTAATGTGATATTCATTTAAGATCGATAAAATATTAAAACGTACCTTCCATTTTAGAGAGATGTTTCTTCAATTTACCAGCACATCCATGGCAATGAATAGAAACTCTCATAACAACCACCTGCATATATATGTAACCAACACCTTAAACTACATTATCCCTTAATTGCTTTCTTATAAACTTGTTTGACTATCGATTTACCTTTTGTTTTCTTTTCTTTTTTTGGGCAGAAAGGAAAGTAATTATGGTTGACAATACAGGTCAAGATTTGTGAGAAACGGGTCACAAGACTCACAACAACTTACTAATGACGCTGACATAATTACTTCATAACTTGCATTTCACCGCGTAGGATTGGTGTAAGTGTATTATTTTACAAATTGCTTTGATTATATAATCATTGGAACCATTCGTTAGGTCATCTATATTAAGTGATGATGTAAATACCATTAATATATAATGTCCTTAATGTTAAGTGATGACGCGGACAAATATAAACTTATTTTCAATAACACGTCGTTTTTAGAGTTTTAAATCTGCAACATGGACCCCTATTAGCAAAGACAAACACTAAACTTGTCTTGTTAATAGGGGTCGGTTTAGGGATCTAGAGTTCTATAGATGACGTGACAGTGAAACTCGCTTCAATACTTGTTCAGGTCATCAATTAATGTTGTAGACCTAATCGATGTTTAAGTTGTCATACGTTAGGTAATTATTCAAAATGTTTTGAAAATGTATGACTAATTTAAAATTGGATCCAGATCCTCTCCGGATCTATGGATCCGGAGCCTAAGGATCAATTAATCCAGCCCGTTGAAATTTGATCAAACGGCTACAATTATTATAACTTTTAGTGGAACCCCATGTTTGTAACCGTTGGATTAAGTTTCAACAGGCCGGATCAATTGATCCCGGATCCTTAGATCCAGAGAGGATCTGGATCCTTTAGAATTACCTTTTAAAGTTGAGTAGTTATCAGTACTCAACTCTATATTATACTATCTACAGATCATATAGTCATTGTTACCCAAAAAACAAAAGAATGAAAATAAAGTTCTTGTGGAGGGCCTGGCCTTGCAGTCTATGGTTGCTTGCTTTCAATTCAGTACTGGATCTGTCTGTGGGCCTAATCTATTTCAACTGATTGATTGAAATCTGGGATAAAGGTGTTTGAGAATTTTTGCGTAAGACTAGACTGTCTAAGACTCTACAGTTGGAAAAATATTAAAAGTTGCTGATGGTTTGCAAATAAATATGTCATTTTACCTGGAAGACATTGTCGGCGGATGACGACGGTGGTAGTAAATCTGGATCAGATGATGGTAGTTTCCGGGTCGACTTTGACATTGGCCGCTGATCTTGGTGGTTAAGAATACTGCTGGTACTACCAGCGCTTCGTCTGCGACTGTGGTAGTGGGACGTCTCATGGCCATGAGCTGGAGGAGTAGTATCGAGGAGCCTGGAGTCGTAGTAGTGACCACCGCCGCCACCATTATTAGTACTAGTTGATCTTCTCATCATCATGTAATTCACATGGCCAGCACTGTGATTGTGGCGGACACTGGTAGCTGCAGCTGGTCTTGTCGGCGGTGGCACGATAACTGAGCGAGCATCAGACATGCACACCGCAGTTGCTGCTTGAGACTGACACATGAACCCCTTCATCATCATCTTCTTCTTCATCCTCTCCTTAGTACTGCTGCTGCTTTTCATGTTCATGATATATAATTGGTTGCTAATTAGTAACGCAAACTAACAGAGAGAGAGAGAGAGGGAGTGCGTTTGTGTGTATGATAACTAAGTTCTGTAAAAGGTAGCAGTGAATAATATAGATGAGAGATGCGCGGAGGAAAGGGAAAAACTTACGTAACACTAGTACTGTAACATGCTGTCTTTATGACTTAGCTAACAGATTTTGGCAGGCATTGCACTGCAAGTCTGCAACTGCCTCTGCCAGACGGTGTAATTTTGTTTCTAGTACTAAATGTAGCCTACCAGGCACTGTGTTTTGAATGACTTCACCACCCTGTCATTTTCTCTGTTTAATGTACTTCACAATTCACTGTTTATCTTAAGTTGTATATATATTTCGGGATTTTTTTAAGTGCTCCATAGTATCAGTTTTCTGAATACTCTAACTATTAATTTTTTGTTTAAAAATGTAAAAATTAAAATTTAACGTTTATAGCATCCGACGTAGTATATACTCTAAAATACTTAAAAAAATTTGTTATATCTCTACAGAGCTAGTTGGCTATTTCCTGCATCCATCCAATACCCACATATCACGTATCCTTGCTGTGTAAACGTACCACATCCTCACTAAATGCTACCCGCAGCAAAACCAGAATGGGGCTAGATTGATGACTATATATGGAATGGAAAGGTAAGCTAGTTACAGCCAACCCTAGTACAAACATTCTATGGTGCTCTGGCGTACTGTATTTAGGGATTGTTAACCGTTTTAAATATTTATTTTTGTATTTTTGAACAAAGTTCTAATGGTTAACAAGTGACTACTGCCATTTAATATTACGATCTAGTGATATTCCTCTTCATTTGTAAGTGAGAGGTCTTAGGTTTGATTCTCGTGTAAAGACGAATTTGAACAAAATTATTGCTAGCCCATTGTGAGGCTAAGCCCACCTCTCTTCTTTAGTGTAGATAATATCGTTTGTTCAAAAAAATAGTAACTACTGAAAGCATAAGTGATGAGTCAATTTCATATTATATATTTTACCCTATTCTTAGTATGTTTTTGTAATTAATTTGGAAGAATTTTAATACTTTGAATTGTATTTTCAATATAGGACTTTCAACTTCCTCTGAAGCAAAACATGGCCAAATGGACAAATTTTGAAGTAATTCTAGTTGAAGGACGTTCGTGAGTCAGTTAGCTTGATTGTATCAAAATATCAGATTTTTCTACCAAGCGATAATTTTCTGGCAATAAAATAAAGGAGCAATGCACAGTGCTGGAATAATGACGTTTTGGGCTTGACTTGCGTTTTTGGAGCCCAAGATGACCTTGGATAGGTTCGTGGCCTTTTGGAGATGTGTTCAAAACATCTTGATCTTCAAAACAAGCTATTATGGGCTGGATTTGGAGGGGATTTAAGGCTAAAACGTGGTTGGACAATGTCTGTGTAGATTCTCCTAGTTTAATTAGGACTTTATTTTCTAAGATATTTTATTATTATTTAGTTTCCTAGTTGGAATAAAGGACCTGGTTTTTAGGGTTTGTGCAATGGCTTAGCAAATATATTGCTTTGCCGTTCTTAGTCTCTTCTACGCTTCCTTTTATGCAACTTCGGAGACAAAGAGTAATTGCTAGGGTTCTTGGAGATTTTCTACTTTAAGGTGTTTTCATTCCTTTTATTCTTAATAATATTTTCTATGATTTCAATTATGAATATGCATAACTAATTCCTTTTGCTAGGACGAAGCCTTGAGCCTTAGCATGAATATGTAATTTTTATTTAATTGCTTATGATTGATTGCATGCATACTTTGAATTATTAATCACCGTAATTAAAACTATCTAATTGTCTTAATGCCTAATCACCATTAGGATCTTTAGAAAGGTAATTTGATGCAATTTTGGTCAGAAGGTTCCTTGAAATTGACGCTGGCTTCTTGTGATTAATAATTGTAATTTCACTTAAGATGAACACCACGTCTTAAGGGTTGCATAGTTTTTCAGAGGGTTTTCATAAAGCATAATGAGTCTCTCATGTTTAGATTTGATCCGAATGTCCGGACGGGTTGCATGTTAGATATAAATTCTATGTTGGAGGTTCCGAGTAGAATATAAATTAGGAAAACCTAACCTTCAAGGTGGCACGTGTAGATCATAAGTAATTGGTAAAAATACATAAGATTGCTAGGTGACAGTGGAACCCTAGTGCTTTTATAAATTGGTATTTAAAACTCTTTTCTTTTATCATATTTGTTTGTAATTAAAATTCGTTTTTAATATTACTCAAGTCTAAAATCTCTTTCTCAACTTTGAATTTTAAGTATTTAATTAGGAATTATTTTTGCATAAACTATCCAAATAGTCCTTGAGGAGAACGACCTTGCATGAGCATCTGTACTAAAACATCCTTGTATTCTTGCAAGTATTTCATTTGTTTTTATCCCTACTTTTATAGGTGGTAAAAATCCCATCAATAAGCATAATCTCGACCCTAGTAAATATTAATTTTTGAATTTTAAAACAAAGTTCTATTGAAAGCATAATCTCGACCCCAGTGACGACTTAGTTTGCAAATTAATTATACATGTGTTACCGGAGCAGTCAAAATACTTACCTTCAATTTGGATAAAGAAATTTAAGATTTCTATAAGGACATGTCTGTAATTGTATTACAAAAAGATTTTCAAAAAACCGTTTTGTAAAATGAAGACGACAATTAGAATTTAACATTTTTATAAGAAAATATGTATGGTAGTGTAATCTGAGAATAATTTTATGAGAGAGTAACATTAAAAACGTGTCCAGTATCAAAATCTAAAATGGAAAAAATTAACGAATTTCATGACGCTTGGCGTCGTGAAGGAAAGAGGATGATGCATCTTATGCGTCATGTACATTAAAATCTGCAGTAGTGGTTGGTTGCAATCTTTTTGTAATATAAATTTTAGCACAGATGCGCTTGTAGTTAGGATGGTGGTTGCCATGGCGGTGGTTCGGGGCAGTGGTGCCTGGTGGTAGGATTTTTTTTGTTACAAAAGTCTGGGAGGAAGCAATTAATGTTGGTGGGAGTGATGGCAACGATGACATGTAAAAGAGGGGAACGGGGTTGGCGGTGGTGGTGGTGGTGATGGAAATGGTGGTTGGGAGATAGTCGGCGTGAACACAAAACCTCTTCAGCCTCATTAAACAATGCAACTGTTACCTACTAGCGTATAAGGACCTCTTGAAGAAGTCCACAAACAACTACAAGAATACAGGGCCTAGCTATGAGGCCCTCAACACCAACCCAATAAGCGCCAGTACCGAGCGCCCGCACCTTGAGGTTTTCAAAGTAGTGGAACGCTCAGCGTGAACATTTCCCGACACAAAGTTGTAAAGATAGGCTTACTCAAGTGTCAACTCTACGTTACGTGTGTGGATCATGTACCCAAAAGTAGATTAATATTTTCCCTTAATCACTTAAGTTGCAAGGATTTGTTACATGCTCATTAGACTACTTTATAGAGTTTTTTTAGTGGAGGATGACATTAGCACTTCAAATTTATAAAAACTCAAGAAAAAGAAATTGAATAGAGATGAGTGCACGATAACCTTTTTAGAGTACCAACCCTAAAGAAAATAACAGAATATTCTAGGTTCAATACTTGTAAGTTGTGAATCTACTTGATCGTGACACGAATATGGTACAATTCTCAACTAGCCTCCTCCGATCCTGGAAAAGATGAATAACTCTAATTCGTCACTAGTTGTCCCCCATTCAATAGTCAAATTTTAGTTTGTACTTGGGTTAAAATTAACTAAAAGAAATGTAAGGAGATTAAGAGTGAATGTATAGGGTTTAGTTACAATTGGGGAAGCAAGCAGATTAATTCCTAACCTAAGTAACAACGAATGAGATGGAGACATAAGTTAAGATGTGGATTGTGTTGCGGGGAATCAGATGAATTTGGACTCGAGTCGAGCGCACTACAACTAATATGCTCAGCTTGAACCCTTTCCAAGCGTTCAAATTGAGTGACGGACTGGATAAAAGGACGTGAATCGCTATGATAAATTGAATCGCGCCAATATATATTGAATTTTTAATGTGCATTGGCTCATGCCAACATGATCTAAACTAAACATACATTGAATCCTTATGGTACATTGACGCACGTCAACATGACATGATAACGTTTCAACACAAAGTCTTAAAAACGAGAAACTTCATGCTATGTGTAGATTATGCTTAACCTAAAAGTTTGTCAACATTTTCCCTTAATCACTTAAGTTGTAAGTGATTTCTACACCCTTATTAAACTACTTTATAGAGTTTTCGAGAGGAAGATGTCATTAACACTTCAAATTTATAAAAACACAAGAAAATTCTTTTTTATATCAAGATGAGTACACAATAACATTTTTAGAGTACCAACAAAACGAAATTTTAGTTTGTACTTGGGTTAAAATTATCCTAAAGAAATGTAAGCAGATTATTTCGTAACCTAAGGCCATCTCTAGCCGACCCGGCCAAAGAGTCATAGGCCAAAATATAGCCTGTTTTGACAAAAAAACTGTCTCTAACCGAGGGCTAGGCCAAATGGCTTGTGAACCCCATCAGGCCATAATTCATCCACCAAGCCAGCGGGCTAGCCAAAAGAAGCCAGCCCGATTGCAGCAACCCAAACCCATTCCAACAGTAACCTGGCGTCAACATGACGCCAGCTAGCAACGGCTAGTTGACATCAGGTTATCGTTGGAATTTGATTTTTTTTTTTTTTTTTGACGAAATTTAAAATAAATAAAAAAGAATTATAATATTTTTTTTCCTATAAATACCTAAGTCATTTCTACACCATTTCTCACATCCTTTTCACCACCATACTATCTTACTTCATTTTAATATGTCCGAAAACTTTATTTTAATATAGTAATTTAATTCAATTAATCATATTAATTCAATTAATATAATAAATTATTGAGAGGGCTAAATAGCCCCTTCAATTGGAGATGGATTTTTTGTAAACGGGCTATGTTTTGGCCTATGACCCTCTCGGTTGGAGATGGTATATAAATATGGTCTGACACTGTTCATAGTTTCTTGCTGGGTCATAGGGCTAAACATGGTCCTTTGACCCCCTTTCGGTTAGGCCTTCTCCAACTGACCCGGCCAAAG